ATATGTATAATCTTAATTTAAGTTTAAAATTACTGAAGATCATATTTAGATACTTAATTCTCAAAATATTTGATATATATAGTAGATCAATCATCGATGGATATAATTCATAATATATTTTTAATTTGGTGTTAACATACTATTTGTCATTACTAAATTGTTTACCAAATTCTGAATAAATAAAGATATATTTGTTCCACATTATCTATATATATATATATATATATATATAATCAAAGTTATTGTCTTTTTACATGCGCATCCTTTGGTGGGAATTGAATAAAAATCTCATATAAATTAGTGAGATATATATATGTAATGGTATTTGTTATATGTGGAAGATTATTATCGAATATATATATATGTTTGAAACTCTTTTTGTCTAACTCCTTACGGCTTATGACATGTGACAAAGAAAAGAAAAGGAAAAAGGGGAATTATATCCGAAATGGATAATATTAGCTAGCTAGGTGATTCTTGATTGAACAAATCCCATGCTTTCATGCATTACTGATTAATTGCTTTTGAATGCCAACTTTTTCCTTTTTATCTTTTTGCTTGCACTTCTTCATGGAAATGATGGAATCATTTAAGACGGGAATGTATGGGTTGCAAAGGCAAAACAACAAACTCATGGTTGGGTCAAGCTTCCCCTGTGTTGCCGCTTGTAACAGGTAAAAGCCAATCTCTAGCTACATGCCGAAAGTGCATGACAGAAGATATAATCCTATAACGTGCTCTTTTACCTGCCATTAGGGGGTTTAATTACCAGGCAAAAAAAGGAAAGGTCGTAGCCCTTTCCTTTACGTGTGTGAAGAAGAAGAAGAAGGTGCTTATCATAATTGTTGATGAAGCAAGTTGGATTTTGGGGGGTGGATTTTTTCTTTCAAAGCTGCTGGGGAAATGGGAATATCCACATGTATGGCAGCCGCCTCCCTCGTCTTCCACTCGATAGGGAAAGTTTAGACCACAAACAAGAAATACCCCACTTCCATAATGGGAAAAAATTTTATATTTCTTTTGTTTGTACCCACCATATGCCATCATTCTAATTACAGAAAATTAAGTAGTAAATTAGGTCATATTCTCTCTTAATTAATAATATGTATACATTGATTGAGTAGTGGGTTTACTCTTTTATTTTTTATCATACCATATCATATATATTCATATATAGGTCTACATGATCTGATTATGATTTTTATTAAGATTATTAAGTGATTGGATCAATGCATTTAAATCATTACATTAAACGAAAAAATGCATGATTCGCGAAAAAAAAGCATGTAATTAAGCAATTGATTAAGATCACTAATGTTTGTTGGTACTTTACGCAAGTATCAAATCCAATGGAGATTAACGCTAGTCAATAAGGAATGTAGAAAAGGAATGACGTCCCCGCGAACCACGCAGTTGGAGTGATTGGTCGGAACATTTGTCAAGGATTCTTTAAACCATCGTTTATTGTTTAATTAATACAAAGCATATATACTTTAAGCTGCTTTTGCGCCGTATCGGATTTTTTAGTTTTCATGCGTTCATGAGGTTGTGTTGCGCTCTCATTGGCTGATCCGACCTTTCACAAAAAACAACTCTTCTAATTTGCTTTTCTTCTTTCTCTTTTTCCAAAGGCAATGGCAATGGGAAGGGGACCAGACCAGCTGCAGTTTTGGTCCCGACTTCATTTGCTTGAACTTTGAAGTAGTATTTAACGCCTTATTGCAAATGCTTTGGTCCAAATGCGAAGGGGTAAAACTGTAAAAGGGATATATATATATATATATATATAAGAGTCAGAGAGAGAGAGAGAGAGAGAGAGGGAATTCGACCTTTAACTTAACTTTACCACAATACAATCATGTTAGGGTTGTATATATATGTATGTAGAAAAAAAGGGTAAAAAAATTCAAGGAACTGTTCTTGTTCTACAGTTCTACTAAGTCAAAGTTCAAATGAATAATGTACTATTGAATATTATGAAGGATTTGATGGAAAAAGAACTAAAACGGAATGGAATAGGGTAAAGATTCATATATCCTAGATTCCATTTCCCTCATTTTATGGCTAATGTGGGAGAATTACTAAGATGGGATTCTTGCTAAGAATAAAATGATATTAACAAACTACATTAAAATGCTATTAAAATGATATTAACAAACTACCAACATATTATTAATGTATATAGATCTTCATTAGAAAGTGTGTTGGGAGTATTCTCACCATATCAAAAGGTGCATTTTATGAGTTGGAGACAGTCTATAACTTCCAACATAAAATCTAACATTAGTGCACAACGTTTAATTATAGCTAGCTAGGTTTTATATATATAAACAAATTATAACTTATATGGAAATTAAATGGAGATTTTCAACTGCTTATATATATATATATATATATATATATATGAGTTATCCTTTTGTGGTGATGGTCTATTCTTTGTGTTCCTTTTTTGTTGTTAATCATATTTCTTTGTTGGCACTTGGCAGCCCTATACGTTTTTTTATTGCAGCATGCTGTTGTGGTTTCTGCTTTCTTTTTGGCTGTATAACGTTTAATCTCCTTTGCTTTTTGTTATGGTTTGCTGCTGATTTTACCTTAACAGCCCCTCTTTTCCATTAGATTTAAACAAATTTCATCTTTCCAGGGAAGAATCCAACTCAGAACATGGGAAAAAATAAGATTCAATTTTCACATTTATTTGACTAAATATAATTCTAATATATCTTATATATGTATAAACTTTCTCTTCCAAATTAAAGCATGCAAATAGTTCCAAAAATATCTTCTTCAACAAGACATTTATTATGGAAAGAAACAGATTCATTTCAACAGACCAAGATGAAAAGAGATAGGATTGAGTCATTGAGAGTTGAAAACACCATAAAAGAGAAAGCTTGAGGATTGGAGGGTTAGATATTTAGAATTACCAGATGCATTGGTAAGAGTAATTGAATAAATGTGTCTGGTTAGATTTGAATGGGCCAATCTGGGGGTGATAAAATAAAAAGAGAGATAATGCCTCTAGACTTCTTTTTCTTCAATCTTTGAATAAGGGTATTAAAATATATGGAGTGGCCAATAACAGATAAACCTACATTTATTCCAAACGTGATGCAACCACTCTCTTTTCCATTCTATAAAGCCCCTGTACTCCTCCATTGCTTCTCACACCAAAGCAAAGCAAAGCAAATACAAGAGATGTTTCAGAAATCTAATATTGGAGCATTTCTGGGTATATAGGGATGTGTATATATATATATATATATATATATATATATGTATATATATACACCTAAAGAGATACTTAGGGGTGTCCTTGATTTAGCTTCAACATGCTTTTTTGGTAGGAAAATCAGCCTATTAATCTGTCTGCTAAAAGGGTTTTAGGGTAAGGGAGGTGACAGAAGAGAGTGAGCACCCAGGGTTTTTTCTTGCATGCTTTGGCTTTCATGCTCGAAGCTCTGCGTGCTCACCCTCTATCTGTCATCCACTTCTCTCTCACTCTCTCTCTTTCTCTCTCTCTTTTCTTATATATACTTCTATGAATTGCATAAGCCTGTGTAAAGACAAGCAGCTAGGGATGTCTGTTTTGTTTTGCATGAATTTACCGTGCATACATCTACTTTAATTGTACTAACTACTATTCCCTTGTGGTGCTTGTTTGTGGCAAATGAAAAAGTCATGAAAAACGTCCTTTCAATGGAAAAACATTCTGATGTGCTGCATAAAAGTCACCACGGTCTTGTACTTGGCTTGCACTTTTACAGTATTAGAGCTGAACCATACTGCTCCAACAAAAATCAAAGCCTAAAAGCTCACTCTTTTCGTTGTCATCACTAATCATGTACAAAGACCAGTTCAATTAAAGGAAAACTATTTGCAATTTGCACTCCAGTTTTCTTTTCATCATTAGTTAGGTTTGAGTCTAGTAACCCTATATGCAAAGGGTTTCCTTCTAACTGCATATATATGATAATTATTGACTGCGTGATCTAGATCTAAGTTGGGTTTTTTAGCTAATGAACAAAGGGGAGTATGGTTGACTTTGTTGATGTGAAGATGCAGTTGCACTGGTAGTCCGATTTCTTCAGTTCTATCAAATGTTTATTACATTATATGACGTTTCATCTGATGAATTTAAGAACTTGGTGGCTCGACTGAATTTCTTTTCGTTCCTCCTATTCTTCATACTTATTTATATATATGACATTCAAATGATCAATTCTGTCCAACAGATCTGTAAACTGACATGGATGTCTTAGAGTAGTATAACCAGAACAACAAGCTAATGATCCATAAACTTATGCTCAGTGTTTCGAGGTGACACAACTGGTTCTTAATTTGAAAAACCAACTGTTTCATCAAGCAAAAGGACCTTGACATGTCCAACTTCAGCTCAGCGTAGACATGGAAGTTAGAAGTTCCCAAGTTTGTTCTCTCGAGTACATATATAAAACCTAGGAGAAAGATGATCCGTTTTCGTTTCTTTCTCTTTTTTTCTTTTTGAAAAATGTTTTCTTTTCCCGCATGACGGAGCTTATTGAAATGTTCTTAAGGTATTTCTATTGTAGATTTCATTCTTTCTGTAAAGGCTTATATGATTTTGCTTGTTGGTTTATTCAACACTATTTACTTTGCATGCTAGCAGAAAAGGAAAACAAAGTACTATAATCTTTTTCCATGTAAGTTGTACCTTTTTTGTTATTTAACTCTGATCTCTTTGATCTTTGTTGTTCTTTGATGGAGCAAATCTTATAAATTTAAAGTTTCTTCAACTAATTAATTGCAATGCATGGTTTGGTTCATGACTTCTGTTGATTAATCACAGGCAAGAGAATGATCATAATATTTTAATACATGAAGAATGAGGTCGGGCGTTTCTTGCATGGTTGAACAGTAAAGTTTTCAATCCTTCTTTTTTGGTGAAACAAATCTTGACCGCCTGAACGTTTTTACATATCCTAATGTCAATATATATCAGACAATCATTGACAAGTGATCAACATTTGGAATACTGTTCTTTATATGTACTGTTTTGGAGGGTAACAGGAAACCAACCGAATAAAAAAATTTTGCAGTCACATCATGGAAAGCCAATCTCTATACAAAAGACCTTTCCTTCACCCCTGCATAATGTGTCCTCATAGGACAAAGTCAATGAAATTGTAAAATCTTCATATTGAAAACAGGAAGAGAAATTGGTACAATTTTATTGGAACACAAAGCTACAAATATGAATTTATTTAATACTAATATATATGAAGTACTTAATTGTTTTAAAGCAAAATCAAGACAAATTATCATCAACGTGAAAGCCTAAGATATCTTTCAATCTATCTGGAAATACATGATATTTAGTGCCGAAGTTGGGATATGCTCATCGAAATTGTTCTCTGGAAACCAAGAGCTGATTAAGCTTTGAGACTGATCAGTTGGACTTCCTTTCGCCCACTTGTCTACGAGTTTAAAACCAAATTTAGATGCAGCTGAAAGTAAAGAAGGCTCATCAACTCGCCGGAAGATATGACAGAGAATTAGTGCTGGCGCTTGGTCCTTCTCAGCACTTCTGTTGGATGAAATCAACTCTCTTGCAGTTGAAAACAAAGGTAAAATAGCTTCGGGAATGTAAGTAACATCTGTTCCTATTATAACTTCAAAGCCTTCATTATTCATGACTTTAATGGCGTCTATATCATCTCTATTTCCCCATTCTAGTCTCTTTGTAATAAGTTTAGCTAGAAATGGTGATCTAAGGTTTGATGTGATATTTTGGGTCAACAGCTCCAGTGCTTTTCTGTCTCCGTCAGTGGCAACCACAATGCTTGCTGATCTAACAGCAACCATTGAACAGATGCCTCCACAGCCACACCCTAATTCCAAAACCCTTTTCCCTGCAACAATATTTGGATTTCTTGCAAGGATAGCAGCCATCAAATGAGCCGATTCCCACAACATCAAGCCAGTTGATTTGCAAGTGTGCTGATACTCTTTGGATAGTACTTTTACCTTGAAATCGCAGCCTCCAAGCTCAATCTTAACAATCTGAGGGAAATATAGAAAGGGAACAACTTGATTTATTTGAAAAAGTAAACATAAAAGTATAAGCATGTCGAGAACTGCCAATGACATAAAAGTACAAGCTAAAATTTAATTCATAATGTAGAAATATGGAACGCAATAAAGGAAAGGATAAAAGAAGGAAGAAGAGCAACAAGGATGTATTTTGCGTCCAAATACCAAAAAAGGAAAAAAAAAAAAGAAATTAAACTATCTTAAAAATAAATATAACATTCATTCATTCAATGTTCAATAAGTATTCAAATAGTCACCTCATTATCATTAGTAGTTGGAACTCCAAACATTTCGACGGCCATATCTTCAGACATGTCAACTGCAAAATCTTTAACGGGCTCCACATCAGCATTAGGCTGAACATTCTCTTGACAACATAGATCAACCTTAGTTGGAGCCTCTAAACAAGGGGAAGAGTTTACAGTATCTGAAAAGCGAAACACAGCTTGGACCCAACGCCTAAAATAACAGGAAATATAATTCCTTCAGGGCAAACGTAAAGTTCTTTCAACAAAAGTGAAGCAACTCAAAAGTTGGAAATCAGAATTAGTATCATTTCAGAAGGAAAAGGAAAGATTGTTCTCTTGCTAAGTCATTGATCATTTACCGATTCATCACCAATTCACGAGCTCGATTCTCAACTTGTTTGCAAAACAAATCAAGCTCTTCAGCATCAAGTCCTTGTTCTTTAAACAAACTTGTCAAGAACTCATTAGAAAAATAGAAAGCACGCTGAAAAGAAAATTGATAAGAGTAAAAATCTGCCTCATTTAAAATAAAAATACTAAGATTAATGCATAACATGACAGGGACATACAGTGCCATCACCCCTGACATAGAAGTTTTCACTGATTTTTTGATCCTTGCTAGAGAACCTTTCCTGTCAACCAAGGTATATTTGAAAAATACACATCAGAAACAGGCAAGCCACCATGATACTCTAGATGTCAAACAATTACGGACAGGATCAAGTGAAACAGTGTAGACTCCAGTAAAAAAGGGAAAATATCTCTTAGGACAATCTTAATAATGTTTTGCTTCAAACACTTTAATATCGATGTTCTAAATCAGGATGCTTCTATTGTTCAAACCATGTCATTATAAATGAAAGCACGCCAGAATATAATAAAGGTAAAAACCTGCTGCAGATACTAATCATTCATCAAGCTCAGGGATAGCAGTAAATGCATTCTTTTAAAAGTATAAAGCAAGAGAAATTTTTTATTAATAGAAGCAACTATGCCTCAATGCATTTTTTTTCTGTGAGCGAGGTGTGCATTACCTTTATACCCATATCTATGCCTCCATATTCACACACACACACACACAAACCACCTACTGAATTGAATGAAAACTGAATCTATATTTCCTGATATTATATATATGTATATATTTACATATCAGCTAAGGGAAAACAATAACTTAGTTAAAGCACCAAAATCTAAGAACACATATTCTCAGATTATTACAGGAAACTATTAATACATTACAGAATTCGAGCACATTAATCTTACTAAAAAAAGTACTTAAAGATACGTGCATAGTTCAACCTGAGAAAGGTCACCAACAGCATAGTCTCTAAACAGCACATAACCATTTGGCTGGAAAGACAACAACGGATACGAAAAAGAAAGGCATCAAGTTAGTTTTGTCTCAGCAACGTAGATAGGAAATCCTTACATACATAGGCATGATGCAAATACAGTTATCACTTACCTTGAGAACTTTTTTGATGTTCTGCAAGACTAAAGGCATCTTCTCTGGGGATACTGCAGATAATACAAAAATCTACTTAAAATGTCAGCTCCTTAATTGTATAATAAACATCATTAATGAAATACAAACATATGGGCACACATAGCAAATAACAATATATCAAAATGATTATTCAAATACCATGGTTACAACATCGATAGAGGTAGGAGAAATCTGTTTGCTAAGGTCATCAGTAGTCAGGTCACAGACGAAAGCACTGACATGAGTCTCGGTGAAGTCTTTATGTGCCTACAATAATAAGAGAAAAAAAATTCATTCATGCTGCAATACCTATTTAAACTAGATCTCTAAATGATAGGCATTCAGCCCCCTAGTATGAATAATGGAGCAGTTAGAGGACAAGAAACTAAACCTTAACCAAATTAACTGCACGAGGTGAAAAGTCACATGCATGAACAAAAACATCTGGGTATGTAGAAATTAAAGGGAATACAGCATTTCCAGCTCCACAGCCAACCTGCTTACCAAGATCACTCACATTAACTCTATAAATATAACAACACTATAAGAAAAGAATTTAAGAATCTTAGACATTGACACTGCTTAACACTGTAAGGAAAAGTCAGGCCAAATGCTACTACAGTTTATAAAATCGCAAGCCAGGAAATAGTGACCAAAATATCAATAAAACAATGAACGAGGTTTTCCAAATGATTCACCAGTAACAAGAAGGGCATCTAAATTAAAATTATCAGATTGAAAAGAAGAATAAAATAAGAACTCATACAGAAAGAAGAAAAGTTGGCACAATTCACATTTAGTTGAACTCAATTTACAAGTTCATGTTCAAATAAGCTCTTATTAACAAACAACATATTACTGAATTAAACTCAATAATAAAGTAGGTAGAATATTTGTGCAATGTGCACAAAATAGATACCAGAGCAGGCACTATGTGAAGGTCAATATTAGGTGATTTACCTCCAAAATGACTTTTCTTCCACTTCCCTGAGTACAAAAAAAAAAAAAAAAAAAAAAGTAAAATTTATGGAAAGAGATCATCTTGAAGAATTATAAAATAAAAATAAAATAAGGAAATTGTTATCTGACGCACACAAAAATACCGATCCCATTCCTTGTCCAAGTAGTGCCGATCTTTGAAGAACTGAAGCAATAGGTATTGAACAATGTTAAAAATCAGTACAAAGTAATCAAATTAAAAATTCTTGTAGCACCGGTTCTATTGAAATTGTAGTTTTCTTATAAGTAAGCCAGAAGGAACTTTGGGCTGTTGGGCACCACGTACGGAGATTAAACCAAATTTTGTTAGTGTCGATGTTTGGAATCTGAAAAGCTATATCTATTATTGCATTGGACATTACCAACCAGGTCCAGCAATCTTGAATAGCCAGTCAAATTCAGGGGAATTGGTAATGGTGGTAGTATCAGTAGCTATAAAAAGGACAAATAAGTGAAGAAAAATGCAAGGGAAATTACCCTATCTTGATGCCGCCTGTAGAATTGATCCCAATACTTCTTAGCATCTCTTTCATACTTGTCTGCAAAACAGAACAATTTGTTTAAAGGGCGGACTTGATGCAGGGCAACAATTGAGCAAAAAAAAAAAAAAAAAAAAACAACTTTGATCACCTCTCCAAAAGGGGGAAACTCCAGTGGTAGTGGGAGGGTATATTTGTATCCTCTGCGCCGATTGTTGCTGCTCCACGTTGTTTTGGGTATTGGAATCCATCATTTGATAAGGCTTATCGGCAGCAAAAACAGAATCTTAGAAGCGAAGCAATTAACATAATAATCATGAATTAGTGGTTTCACCATGATCTCATAATAAAATTCAATATTCAAAAAGGAAAGAATTAAAAAAAAAAGGATAAAAATAGGAAGTTGTCTACCTGCGTTACTTCGCGTGGAGGCAGGAGCAGGGAAGTAGAGAAAGCAACGAGAATTTGAGACAGAGGGTTTAGGGTTTTTGCCCAATTGAGAAGTTAGGCTTACACCTGAAATATAACATTTTCGCATTGTCACCGTCATGTTAATGCGTTTAACCAGATAAGAATGGTTTTCGGCAGCCTTCAATTATTTAATTTTTTTTTTCAATTTTAAACGCATAACATACTAGACATAAAAAATACAAAAAGACATAATTGAAAATTTTGATAAAAAATTATTTGTTAGTTCAGTAAAAATAATAAAAATTTTTGTTTATAATTTTTATACGTATTTAATATAAAATAAACACAATATACAATGCACGAATTTCCATGAGCAGTGGTTTTCATTTCTAATTCTACCATAAAAATGATCGATAGAATCATTATTTTGATTAAAAATAATATCCCCACGTCTTTGTTGAGAAATCACTGTATAGTTTGATTCTAAATCAAAATAATCAAAAACACCAAATGCGAATCTCTAATAATCTCCTTCTATTCGTTTCTAAATTTGTGAATTTGTATAGTTAATCTTTCCTCTGTATACTACAGCACATCTGTAACATATTCCGAAAATTTTTACCAATGACGGATAATTATAAACAATTATGAAAAAATTTTAAAAATAAAAAGAACGGATAAGTAAATCAAGTGATGAGCTTTCTAGGATGATTCGCCATGCTTTTCATCGGTCTGCAAAATGGCACTGTTCTGTTCCTTCTCATCTGCATTTGAGCTCCTCGTTTCATCAACAGTGGGTTCAACACCATTTTCCGCAACAGGCTGAGGAAGGTCAACGTTTTCTGAATTGGCCTTTTCCTCTCCATTACTAACCGGTTTAGGGGGTTCTCTCGATGAAGAGATTGTCAACAGGCAACCAACTCCATCATATACATTGTTTGTATCCATGATGAGAGCTGCTCCACCAGGGAAACACCGGCCAAAGCATGTTGCACAACGTGGGAAAGCAACCTACAAATGAGGGAAGTTCGTTAGTACATCAAGTCTGTCAAATATGCTTTATGAATATAACTTGCAGGTGACAATCTGCCTAATTTCATCAGAATTCACCTCTATAGATGCTCGGCAAAGCGTAAGGAAAAGCCCAGACTAATTTTCTCTGAGCATCCGGGTTGCAATGTACCTCAGTAGAGAGTCAGAAACAGCCTGCAATCCCTTAATTAATTCTTGAGCAAGAACATTCTTCAAACTTACTGGGGCATAAAGACGTAGCTCATTCATTGCAGCAGAAACACCTGAAATTACCAGAGAGAGACAAGTCAATGTCAATGGAAGTAGCAATTCTCTGAAACCAAATCTTTCACACATAAGATTCAAGAAGTTGAATGAGTATTATCATATAGAGTATAATTTTGCAGACAGCCTTCAGATTACATATAACTTTATTAACTTCAGCTAGCAACCGTTGGAAAAAAACAAATACCTCAGAAAACACCTCAATTCATTGTGGTCCAGTTACGTAAAACGAATAACACTGAACCATCAAATTTAACTTAAAAAATAAAAACTGGTTCTCTTTTGCCTTTACACTCAACACGAGTATTATGGATGTAAATAGCTTGAATCTAAAAGTCAGAATGTGTAATTCAACATAACTATCACTTTCTTGACAGCTCTAGTGTAATTTATCACTCAGATAGTTTTATCCAAACAATTTGATTCCAAACAAACCCACCATCTCAGCAATTTAGAGGTAGATACAATTTAATTAAACATTTGAGAAGCCATCAATAAGGAAAAAGCACTTTGAGAAGCATGGGTCAAACTTACCATTAATAAAAACTGCAAGAGGTGGATGTTCCATAAGATAAGATGGTGGAGTTACATCCTCCTGACTTTCTTCACCAATACTAGTTGCTGAAAAGCCAACTGCTGGCAGTGGAATCCAATGATGTGAATCCAAAACTAACTGGGAACAAGTAAGACAAGTTACTAATCAGAAAACTGTAGATTGCTTGGTTTAGGAAAAAGCTGTGAGCCCAAATTGTAACACTTAGGCAACTAACCCATTTTGAGGACACTATAAAAAAGAAAGTTCTAACTTTGTCCTTTGCCGGCCTACCTGAAAGTTTTCAACAGCTGTATTCATGTTCTTTGGGAATAAATTGAGCACTGCCCTGTAAAGTGGTGAAAGTCAATATAATTGCTCATATACATAAAAAGTAGTTAAATGGAAACCAAAAATGGAAAAAAAAAAAAAAGGAATTATGTATTTACTCTTCAATAAGAGATGGAAGCAAGCCTCGAAAATCCAGCCCAACCCAACCAAGTCCCATTGCACAATCCTGTCAACAACAATAACAACAACAAACAAAACAAACCATAATCAAGTTCAAATGCAACACAGTTACTTGTTTCACATGAAGAATGACCAAGATCAGCCACCTAGAAGCAATGTTTCTTTTCCACAATTAACTCCATTCCAAATGAAATGGTGTTTGACGCACAAAAGCAGAGTTGCATTACCGCAAATCTGAAACCAAATTATCTTTCAGGTTTGTTCAAAAGCGAAAATGTTTTGAATACAAGCTTTTGTTGACTATGCTCTCGTCATAAATGATCAAAAGTCAAATGATTGACAATATTTCTCCAATATCATAAATTTCCTGAAAAAAACAACAATATTGGATATACACACACACACACATTACAAATAAGAGCCTTAAGGAAATGAAGAAGACATGAATAAAAGCTAATATTATAATTTTAAATTTTCTCACCAGACAATGATCCAGAATATTTGACAGCAATCCACCCTCTGTTATCTTTGAAAGCAGGACTTTAAGAATTTTAAGGTGTAAAATAATATGATGCATAGCCCAACTAAAAAGAAGCCCGCCATCATAATTTTCTTCAATCCCAGATGTATCATCAGCAAATATTGCTCGATGTTGGTTAACAACATCGAAAAGATAAATTCTATGACAGCTTATCATTCCTTTTAAATACTCATAAGCATTTATCTGGTCCAGATCTTCAAGAATTCCAGCAAGCCAAGTCTCCTGGCATCTCAAAAACTAAACCATGAAATAATGCTGTCAGAAGGGGACAAATGAAAGTAAAACTGTAGATGGGGTGGGGAGAGTGAACCCCCATGATAAAAGGGGTGGAGATGGAAATTGACAAAGTAGCTCTGCAGAAGTTACCTGCAATCACATTTCATACTCACTAAACACTCCTATTCGGCATAAATATCCAATAATTCTAAGGCATTTAGGTAACTGCAATACACAAACCACACACTTGACTAAAATTACAAACAAAATCAAGTTTTGCTCATAGCATATGTTGAGCATCACTCCCAAATAAATACCTGAATATTAGATCGAAGCTTCTGGAGAAGCTGAGAGAGAAGAGATTGTGTTGTCTGCCTAACTTCTGCAGCCAGTGCTTGAATAACAGGCAATCTTTCATGAAGGGAAAAAAAAAAACTCAGTTAGCTGTCTTCCAAAGTTGACAAGGGATGGAAATAAGAGGGGTTAACTCACTTGGGGTGCATGGTTGAGAGTTTGCAAACAAATGCTTCCAAGTCAAGAGCTTCATCATAATTTCCATTTCATACACATCTGCAGAAAAATTGAATTTAATTAGGCATTCTAGCATGTATTCTGTAAGACAAGTACCTCAACATGTACAAATTATTCAAGCACATACGTGTCCATAAGCTGAGGAATCTCAAGCAAGTCAAGCAAAGTGCTGTGATTTGCTAGCAGAGTCTGGTTCATCTTCCTCTTCTCCAAAATCTGTTCTGCAGATTCTATAAACTCAGTGCAACCGGATGTCAGGTTTGGGATCTCAATTATCTGCGAAGGCAAACCCTACTTATAAGCATATCTACAAATGAACTTAAGATTTCTAAGGATCAAAAATCAAAACTTAGAAGATCAATGCATCATCAATTCACCATCTTCATAGGATGCCCAAATCATGTAAAAGTTAAGGTCAGTCCTTTTTCTCTTTTAACTTAAGAGTTTTCCTTTCGTAACTCTGTGGTTGCCATGAGATTGATTCCCTCCTCTTAGAAGTAGAGTCACCTTCCCTAATCTCATTGGTCATCAAAATATATTCTCCACCTATTGAATCTTGTAAATACAAATATAGAAAGAAAAGCAAACACATCAGATAGCAAAAACCTCTTTCAAGTACTATTAATTCATCACTCAGGGAGAAACCCAACTGCATGCCCTTATGCTTTATCCAAAGATGCTTTCACAACTAATTCAAGCATCAAAACTAAAACAAATTAATTGAAGCTATTTTTCAAGATTTTGCTCTTATATTCATAAGCAAACGCAGCCACTAATCTTGAGATTCACTAGATAGCCAAGAATGTAACAAACCGTCTATACTACTCATAAAATCACACATCTTATTACTTACTTTTATATCCTAAAGACCAAACCTTTCAGATTGAAATCCATAGATCTTATGACATCTCAATGTCAGAAAGCAAATAATAATTACCAGTATCTAAAAATAAAAATATGAAAATTGAATTGAAAAAGAAGGGTAATTTACCAGAGATTCAATATGCCTATCGATAGAAGACAGTTCCTCTTTGATCGCAACCAACGCATCAGAGGCAGCAATGAAAGAGCCGTAATTACCAACCGCCACTTCTTGCATTTGCCTCTGAATCCTCTACGCATTAACCCGAAGAAGCTCCGGCTCCTTTTCATTCACAAACAACAAACACGGTTCAATCTCAAACAACGTATAAAAAGAAATTAAGAGATTAAAAAGACAGAAACGAAAGAAACGGACCTTATGGAAGCGATCAAGAGTGAAGGAGAGGAGCTCCAAGACGTAAGGCTGTTGAGAAACGGAGGCGAGAGGGAGGAGAGTGGCCATGAACGATGCCGGTGACGCCGATGGAGAGACGGCGTCGCCTCCAATCTCTAGTTCCATCACCATTGTTAAATTCGGGTTTTGTTGGATCCTTTTTCGGAGCGAGAAATAGATCCAGAATCTGGTTCAACTTTTTGGATCTGAAAGATTTTGGTACGGAGGAGAGCTGCAGGGCTAAATCTCCGGCCATGTCAGCGTTTCTGGTGGGAACCCGATTTTGACCCGCTCGAATTTCTTTGGACGACTTTAACCGTTGGATCTAAAGTATGTATAAGAATCTAGAAGTGTCTTATCATGTGCCATCTGTCCCTTTCCATTTTTCCAATTTTGGTTGGGTTGGATCAAAATCATCATATTTATTGGGTTTTAGGCCCAGAAATTAGGGTCAAAGGCCGACGATAACGAAAGACTCCAAGGCACAATTAACTTATTTTAGTTTGACCGACTCGTTTTTCGTTTGGGCCTTAGTCTATAACCTGACTTCAATGGCCCATTGGCCTCAAATAGGGAGATCATGAAAATTAGTCTTACAATTCATATACTCTGTATCATATAAATTATTAATATTAAAATTAATATATTTGTATTTTATTTTATATAAAAATTAAATATAATAATTTATGTGATATAAAAATATAAAATATAATTTTTTTGTTTTTGTTAAACTCATAAATAATTATTATTATAATTTTAAGTTATATCACTTTCATATCTTTTTTTTATCATATTTATATCATATTATTGTATCTTTATTTTAAATTGTGCTTCCAAACAAAAGAGGAATAACAAGAACTCGATTTATAGTGTATTTCTTAACACCACCGATATGATAAAAAGAACATAAAAAAAAAACAGAACAGCCCAAATGGCTTCCTAATTTCTACATTGGAGACCCCATATTTTCCCTTTATAACACTTACATTTGATCGTCACTCTTGCTCCCCAAAAATATATAAACATCTAGCCCTTCAACAATGCAATTATAGCACAACATTGAAACATAACAATATTTACAAGTGACAAGGAGGCCTGAAAATAAAGAGAAGAGGCCTTTGATGCATAGAAGTAGTAGTAAGGATAGGGATACTGGTGCGGTCCTACTACCGTAGGTGGCCCTTGACCTGGAGGTGCGTTGTAGAAGTACTTAAAAGGAGGTGGTGGACTGCCCTTTGAGGAATACGAGGAAGGCGCTGGTGGGGGTGGCCGCAATGGAGATGTTGGTGGTACTGATTCTGCTGGTGGTGGGGAGTGAGAGTAAGATTGTGGTGGGATGTAATAATATGGAACTGGTGGTGGCGAGTGATGAACTGACGGTGGTGGTGGTGGAAATGACTTCAGCAGTGGTGGAGGTGGTGGTGAACAAATGACTGGACATGTCGCACAGTCACTGATGCATAGTAAGCCGGCTGATGGTATCCCCAATTCATCCTCAGATGTTACTCTAGCAAGCATGATCAAAACCATGATCCCTACTTTCAAGAGCAAGACAAGCCATTTGCTTCCTAGGGATAGTTGACTATAGCCTAAGCCCATCATCATTTTATATCATAAGTTTAAAGAAACTGCTTTTGTGAATTGCTGGACAGAAACCTGTGATACTTATATGCTCAGTGACTTTATCAAGACAATTCCAAATGAAGATCATGCATCTAGATAGGCCACTTTACCTTTTTACATGCGTGTGTATGGCTCTTCTAAAAGCCTGATTTAGATGCTTCCTTAACGATGGTTTGTGCTGTATTGCTGTAAAGGGGAAGATTTACTTCCACAGCTTTTTTTCTTTGATCTGTAAAGAGGATAGGATTAAACAATGGAAGGCCAATATTTTGGACACAGCAGTAATTTGAATGAAAGGCCAAAAATACCCTTGGTAACTTGAAATTGATTACCCTTTCTAATCTATAATACTCCAAAAATACTGTACATTGTTTGAAGAATGAGGATTTTTAGGTAGAAACTTGCCTTTCGGCCAGAAAACAAGGTTGGACTAACAGGAAATGAAGTTTCCTTGACAATTACAATTGACATTGCAAAGGTTTCCCACTTAGGATTTCTTTTATTCAATCTTGTTAGAGCTGATCACATGATCATATAATCTTCTGTCTTCATCTCATTATGATCATGTAAATATGTTTTAAAAAAAATAATAGGAGAATGATTAACCGGGGGACCGCAGACAACGGCGTAAAGGCATTGAATTTGAATGACAAGGTTAAACATTAGTGCTAATAATTTTTATTATCTGCTTGGATTTTGAAGCTTTTATATTTGTGTTCTTTCACTTTCATGGGAGGGGAATCCAAAGCAAAACTTGTTTCGTCACACCATTCTTACTTTTTCTTATACCTTTCTCTCAACATAAGTTCATCTTTGAGAGCATAAATTCTCTCCTCACAATGTTACCCTTTAACACTTTATTCTCTGATTGTGCTTTTCTTTCAGAGGGGGCCTCCTGAATCTCCTTTTTCACGTTGCGGGTTTCTAGGGAATTCTTGCTTGTATTAGAATATCCCCTCGAGTGACCATATCATTGAAGAATTAACTCATGTAGCAGCATTTTGAATTACATTATTTACTCTTCATAAAGAGATGGAAGCAAGCCTCCAAAATCCAGCCCAACTCAACCGAGTCCCGTTGCACAATACTGTCAAAAATCATCATCAAATTCGAATGCAACACAGTTACTTGTTGCACCTGAAGAATGACCATGATCAGCCTCCTAGAAGCAATGTTTATTTTCCACAATTAACTCCACTCCAAATGAAGTGGTGTTTGATGCACAAAAGTAGAGTCGCATTACTGCAAATTTGAAATCATACATGTGATTTAAATCTCTTAAAAAATTTATTTGAAATTAATTAGATATTATTTGATAAATAAAAAAACTTGTAAGAGAAGAATTCTAAAAGAAAAATAATTTTGATAGACAAATTTGCATGGTTATAAATAGGTAAAGTTTTTATCGAGTTCAGTATGAGAAAAAAGATGTAAGAGGATTTTATGAAATAAACATCTCAAAAAATTATTAAAGATTTACATTTTATGAGTGTATATATTTGAATATTTGTAAGTGAACTAAATGAAACAAAAAGGATTCACATAAATATGGTGCATGAGTGAACATGAGTATGTATTTATTTAGGTCAAAAATACTCTATAAGACTATAAGAGATTGAGAGAGCCTATGTGTATTAATTATTAAATGAGATTGATTTGATATATATTTGTAATTTTTTACAACTTGATTTTTTTTCTCATTCGTAGATATAAGTTGGTTAAGCCGAATCACATTAAATTATTATATCTTGTATGATTGATTGATTATTTAATTTTACTTCCGTTAATGTGATTGGATTGAGACTTTTTGCCTAATGGCATCAGAACTGTTGTGATTCCAACGATATCAAAGTTGAAAGTTTAAGATATGAGAAGAGACAATCTCAAGAGGAGCTCGTTTCAAGAGAAGAATTCGAGTTCGTGTTTTAAAAACTTGATTTACGTGAAACTTGAAGACACAAAAAAAATTGATTGTGAGACTTTAATTGTAAGTAGAGTCAAGTATGTCTAATATGAAAATTAATGATTGATAAAATTTAAGTTAAAGTAGAGATTATTAGGAATAGTAACTCAAATTTCATAAGAAATTTGTTTGAAATTGATTAGATATTGCTTAATGAATAAAAAAATTTGTACGACAAGAATTCTAATAAGAAAAAATTCTTGACAAATAAGTTTGTATAAATAGTCTCTATATAGTTAGAAATAGTAACTCAAATTTCATAAGAGATTTGTTTAAGATTGATTAGATATTATTTGATAAATAAGAAGACTTGTAAGATAAAAATTTTAAAAGAAAAAAGATTTTTAACAGATAAGTTTGTATAATTATAAATAAGTAAAGTCTTTATATAGTTATGAATAGTAACTCAAATTTCATAAGAGATTTCGTTTGAGATTGATTAGATATTGTTTGATAGATAAAAAGACTTGTAAGATAAAATTATAAAAAAAAAAGATTATTGATAGACAAGTTTGTATAATTATAAATAAGTAAAGTTTCTATATAATTAAATATGAGAAAAAAAAGTGAAAGAGTTGTAAAAAAATTATAAGATTTTATGGTATAGACATAAGACTACTAAAGATTTACGTTTATGGCTATATATGTTTGAATATTTTTTTAGTAAAGTGAAGTAGGGAAGATTGAGAGACTCCACGAGATATGGTATATAAGTGTACGTAGATATGTGTTTGTTTGTATTAAAAATATTTCATATGACTAGAAAAAATTAAGATGTTTATATGTATTAATTATTAAAAAGATTGATTTGATATATATTTATAATTTTTTATAATTAGTAGATTTTTTTTTTCATTCATGAATGTAATTTAATTAGACTAAATCATATTAATTACAGTTTTATGTAATTAATTGATTTTTTTTCGTTAACGTAAATATTCAATTAAATTGAAGTTTTTTACCTAATAAGATCATCTTTCAGGTTTGCTCATAAGCAAAAATGTTTTGAATATAAGCTTTTGTTGACTGTGCTCTTGTCATAAATGATCAAAAGTCAAATGATTACGATATTTGTGCAATACCATAAATTTACTAGAGAAACAATTATTCTTGATATATATATATATATATATATATATATATTACAAATAAGAGCCTTAAGGAAATGAAGAAGATAAGAATATAAGCAAATATTATAATTTTAAATTCTCACAAACACTGATCCAGAATATTTCTGTTATCTTTGAATCATGACTTTCAAGAGTTTTAAGGTGTGCAGTAATCTGATGCATAGCCCAACTAAAAAGAGGCCCACCATCATAATTTTCTATGACACCTTATCATCCCTTTTAAATACTCATAAGAATTTCTCTGGTCCAAATCCTCAAGAATTCCAATAAGCCAAGTCTTTGGCACTACAACAAAGATAGCTTATAGAGAGACCAATATAAATGCTTTTGAAAGTCATTAATTGCCACTAAAACTTTCAGAGGCAAATAATATAATTGTCCTGGATAGTCTAATAGATAAAAATATATAAGTTCAAGATTTAGCCTTCTCATTTCAGCTTCTATATCTCGCTGCAGTTCGCGGCCATAGCATATTATGAATGTTAGCATATTTACTGTAAAAATACAATATGTGAATTCTTCTTACTGGTATTCAATAACTAATGCCAAAAGTCCACTTACCGAACTTTGTGGAAGTGGCTCTGGAGGGGTATTTGAAACCACAGAGAAATCAAAATTTTTGCCAGAAATATCCATGGATCCAAGGGAAAGTTTTGTTGGAAAATCTGAGTCACTAGATAAATCTTGGCTAGATGAGGACTGTTCTCCGGTAGCATCTAAATCAATGTCCAATGCCAAATTGCTGGAGAGCTTCTATGTCTATCAGGGCCACGTACAGGTACTTATGAGGGATTATCTAAGAACAGTCTTTCTGATCCTCTATTTCTCAATGCTCCCCATGTATATTGTCCTCTATTTTATAGTAAAAGATACAATGTCAACATAGAAAGACAATAAAGCATAGTAGACAGAAGGAGACATTAAAAAGAGACATCATTGTAATTTACCAACAAACTTTTAGGTTTTGATTATTGGTCACATTTTTCCAATACTACTCTTTCAATAAATACTAAGAATCTGGAACCAACTTTTCCCACCTGTTTCCGTCATCTTCAATTTGATCCAATGGAATCCACGGTGGCATTCTTGATGATGCCTTTGGCGAGGCAACAGTATTTGATACAGGTGGTTGTGCTGTTCGCACTGTCACTATCTTACCTTTGGAAATTACATAAACAGAACAAAACTCTGGTGCAGTTTTAATCAAGCAGGTGGAAATGTCATTTTTAAATTTCCTTTAATACAAATAACTCAAATTTGATTGTTAGAAGAGGATAGAGAGAACAAGAAGAGGCAATTAGGAATGAAGATGTAATACTTAACCTTGAAATGGAACTCCTCATTACTTCACCAAGGACTATGCTGTTGATTAGTTTTTGCTGATGTAGTCTAAAAGTGCTTTACAAATATCAGAATCGTCGAGGGTAACCTCCTTCATTTGAATCTGAACTTGACAATGAAAATATATATTAGTTAGAATTGGTTTATCACATGACATAATCTGATAAGACATATTCATCATCTAATAATTTTTGCGTACCCCTTTGCATGCACAGTAGCCGCGAAAAGCAATGAAAAGCTGGTTTATGTTATAATCAGATTCGCTTTCTTCCTCTGAAATGTTAAATCAAGAACAAAAGAAATCACAAAAAAGAATGAATGACTGACCAACAATTGTCATTGACACTTTCTTGGGACGAAAGAAAGTGAAGATAATAATATGAGAAATGAAAGAGGGTACTAACCCTTTTTTTGCCTAACATGGATTAAAATGCTGAATTGATTGGTGATGACAAGATGATCAATGGCCCAACGTACAGCATGTGGTTGTTTTTGTCTTTGTCGATGGCCACCGCAGTGGTGTTGACAGGTATATTGTTTTCAGATGAGAAGAGATGAGCCATCTCAGGAAAAAACTTTCTGACTTGTGGCACACGGCAATGTTGCTAAACTTTGTGTTGACCGAATAAGTTTGCCACCACTGCCCTTGCAACCACCATGCCAATCCTCCACCTCTTGCTATAACTGCTTGACCAAAAAAAAAATCATACAATACCAGAAGGAAAATGTGATTGATATGGAAGGAAAAGGGAGAAACCTAGTTTAGGTCTTTCTCATGATGTATAGGTGCAACTGCAATATTTCGTCATGTAATGAAGATGTTTCCGCCATTGGCCTGTTTTAGACAATTTGACCAGGCTCATTCCTTCAAAAACTAAGAAAAAGCTGCGTTTAGGACTTCATCACCTCCAGTCAATCAAGATTCATGAGATCTGAACTTCAAGTCTTGATGGAGAATGAAATGGCATAGATTTATTAAATTGAGTCTTGAGCCTTACTCTATATTTATGGGATAAAAAACGAGGCCTTTTTTGTTTTAAAATATTTGGTCTCTCAAACCGACGTCGCTTAAGGCTGTCTGCACAAATTCTAAACCAAAGCAACAAAAGCCCGGAACCCTATCCACAAAACCCACGGAAAAACCTTATTCGATTATAAAATTGGACGCTGAATTGAGAATCCGATAAAGAAAAGATGTCGACGGTGTACGTTCTAGAACCACCGACGAAGGGGAAAGTGATACTCAACACGACGTACGGCCCTCTGGACATCGAGCTCTGGCCCAAAGAAGCCCCGAAAGCCGTTCGGAACTTCGTGCAACTATGCCTCGAAGGCTATTTCGACAACACAATCTTCCACCGCATTATTAAGGGTTTCCTCGTTCAAGGTGGTGATCCCACTGGATCCGGCGCCGGTACCCCCTCTTTGTTCTTTAATTTTTTGCCTTTATCCGTTTTCAATTCGTTAGGGTTAGTTAAAGGTTAGTTATCAATATAAATTTTTCGTTTTTAGGTGGTGAAAGTATTTATGGGAGTGTGTTTCCGGACGAGTTTCATTCGCGTTTAAGGTTTAACCATAGGGGTATTGTTGCTTGTGCCAATGCTGGTTCACCTCATTCGAATGGGAGTCAGTTCTTTATATCTTTGGATAAATGTGAATGGCTTGATCGAAAAAACACTATTTTTGGAAAGGTAACAAGTTTTTCTTATTTTGTAAATCATACTTGAGTGTTACTGGAACTGATTGTGGGTTGTTGGTAGGTTACTGGGGACTCTATATTTAATATTCTGAGGATAGGTGATGTTGACACTGATCAGAATGACCGGCCTTTGGATCCTCCTCCAAGAATCAAATCAGTTGAGGTAGGTTTTCCGTTGTTTAAGCATAGAATTAATCATACTGCTTTGGCGTGTTGTATGCTGCTTATTGGTATTAGTTTTTGTTATATTTGAAGAGAATTATGCCAGCCAGTTTTATCCTTTCAGTTACTGTTTTAGGTGCTGTGGAACCCTTTTGAAGATATAGTTCCGAGAGTATCTTCAAGGCCTTTGATCCAGCCCACTGCCGAGGTTGAGAGCAAAGATTCGAAGAAGAAACCTGTTAAGTATGTCTTCTTATTCCTTAACTGAGCACTCTTTTTTGAGCATGCTGAAGACATTCTTATTGCTTAAGGTCTATGCGTTATTTGGAGAATGCAGAAAGCTGAACCTGCTGTCATTTGGAGAAGAAGCTGAAGAAGAAGAGAAAGAATTGGCAGCAGTAAAGCTAAAGATTAAGAGTAGTCACGATGTATTAGATGATCCCCGTCTCCTAAAGCAAGAAATTCCTGATAAAGAACAGGTATGATCCCATATCTATCTTGATGTGTACTTCCCCTTTTTCTTTTTTTAAATACTTAGATAGATTTTGAAACAATGCTCAAGCCAAGTTAATTGATGCATAGTTCTCTTAAATTTACAAAAATTCTTCTTCCAACCATCCCCTGAACTACCATTCCTTAGTGTAAAGTTAATCTGTTGTCTGTCAAAGACACTTTAAAATTAGTTTCCAGACCACTTAATGGTGAACATAGCAAGTCAAGTAATTATGCTGACACGCAGAGTGTCTCTTCCACATAATGAGCAGTTAATGAATCTTGCTATTATATTCTTAAAGCAGCTTATTCAATGCAGGATTTATCTGATGCCAAAACTACCAAGGATGTGCAATTGTCTGTCAGGGGAGCTCTAAGATCAAGGAGAGAAGGAGAACAAAAGGATGCAGAAGCTGAGTTGTCTGATGCCCTTGATCATAGTGATGATGATGAGGCCAGTTTTGATGCACGAATGCGTCGTCAGATACTAAATAGACGGAAGGAGCTGGGAGATCTCCCATCTAAACAAAAGATGCAAAATGGTAACCGTTCATTATGGAACTCCTTTCCCTTTTGGATTTAAACAGAAGTTTGAAGTCCCGAAAACTAGTAATTACAGTGCTTATTCTCATAAAACTAGACTTTGATGCCTCAATCTTAAAAATCTCTGAACTTCCAAAGTAGTAAAACAAAAATATAGGAAACTAGGGTCAATACTTGGACTACACATTTCCAAGTCCAGTAATGGTCATTGGAAATCTTTACAAATAAGGTAAGGCTGCTACATAGTAGTTTATTTCACACATCTTGTGTCATGCACACATGAGCACATGCACTCAGGCATGGTACCTTCTGAGTTTGAAAGCACCCTTTGAACAATTAGAGATATCTTGAAGAGACAATTGGAGTAGAAGTTTTTAAAACTGTTGCCCATCATGGAAAACATAAAGAGGAAAGTACTTTTGGTTTTGGATGAAACAAGATATAAATGCAAAGTTTGGAACCTAGGTTTTTGCATTTGGTTACTTTAATGTATTCATGTTGTTCTAACATGTTGGAGAAGTGTTAATGCCTGGAAAAGGATATTCCTGCAATCACAAGAGCTTTAGGCTTTGTAAGGAACGGGTAATATCACTTAAGACCTTGAAATTTCAGGTGTTGTTTGCTTAGCAACATGATGCACTTGGTTTAAGGTTTAGAATTTAGAATTTATCATTAAGCTTTTGACCAATCTATAAATGTCGAACCCCTGGAAATTGGGCTGTTATCAGAAAAATTTTTCTTTCTAGTGTACATCCTTGATTCCATCTGGTTTATTTATTACTTAGTGATTGCCTTACAATTGGCCTTGACTTATGGAATCTATGTGCAGGGAGCTCTAAACCAAATGACCGTAAAATTTCTGCACCAAGGTAAAGATATGAATGATTTTTATTTTTAATAGTTGTTGCTACTTTTAATTAATCTCTCAAAAGGTTTAGTGTTGAAATATCCATGTTTAGCAACTATTTACATATATTTGACATGTATGCACCTGTCAGAAAGTTCCTAATACATGAAAGTTGCTAAAGTCCTGCAACTGAATTGGTTTGCTTTCATTAAATATCTCTGTTGTTGTTTGAGTGGTTTTTACTTTGTTCTCTGTTGTGTTGGTTTTACTATGGTCATTGATTGGTTCAGTTATGTGATAATCCATGTTTCCCTGTAGTTTTGTTGTTTCGTTTTTGAACATTATAACCTTCTCTTTCTGCTACTTCCCCTGCTTATTCAGGATACAGAATCTGCTGCTGCTGCTTTTTCTTGTTTGCATATATGACTCATAATTATTTGGTGCTGTTCGCACCAGGTCCAATGATGAAAGTACTGATGATGACCAACCAAGGGTGGAAAAGCTGTCCCTGAAGAAAAAGGGTATGGGATCAGAAGCCAGAGCTGAGCGCATGGCTACTGCTGATTCAGATTTACAGTTGTTCAGTGAGGCTGAACGAGGAAGATTATTGCAAAAACAGAAGAAGCGTAGACTTCAAGGACGTGAAGATGAAGTATGTTACGAAATTTCTGGTTCAATGTTGCTTTTCCCTTATATCTTACTTTTCCTTCTTTCTTTCTGTCTTTGCAATGCAACTCTCACACATTAGAATCTACTGTTCAACTGATATTTAGCAAAAAGCAAGTCATTGTTCAATTTTCTCTGTGCTTACGAAAATCTTTTCTCTTATTGATATTGGAGGGAAATAAGAATATGATGATAGGCCTAGGTGGAAATTTGTTTCTTCCTTTTAAATTTGAAATCATGTTCTCCACACAAATTGGAACTAATTCTAGTTTTTATTTGTTTTTTTGTGAACCCCTAGGTTTTAGTAAAACTTGAGAAGTTCAAGCAATCTATTTTCACAAAATCATCTGCTTCAAGTAGTGAGCCTGGAGGTGGTGATAATGAGGATTTGTCTGACTGGAAAGCTGTTCGGTTAGAGTTTGCTCCTGATACCAAGGTTGGTTTTCTGTCGATTCCATATAAACCCCATTCGATGTCTTGTAAGCCTTTCAACAAAAACCCAACTGCATGTGATTTTTATACCTATTTTATGAGCAGCACTAAAGCATAAATGAAAAGCTCTTGACTGTATAAACTTAACCAAATCCCCATTTATTTTGTCTTAGGCTTAGTTAAGTCCTGTAGCAACAAGGGGAATATGTATGGAGTTAATCTATGGTTCTCTTTGAATCATGATGCAGGATCGTATGTCTCGCAAGGACGACCCAAATGACTATGTGGTGGTTGACCCTCTTTTGGAGAAGGGGAAAGAAAAATTCAACCGGATGCAAGCCAAGCAAAAGCGACGGGAACGCGAATGGGCTGGCAAATCTCTTACTTAATCTATCCTTGGCTGATGAAAATGATGAGTTGGTTCACATGCCTGTCTGTCTTTTGCTTTGACAGTTAGGCTGCTGCACAGATATGGGTTCTACCATTATGCAGCCAAAGTCCCAAGATTCAAACATTTGGGGCTGATTTTCTTCTTACCAAGGAATTAGGTCTCGATATTGGTATAGATATCAAATTGCTAATATATCAAATGGAAATGTTGGATATAAAAGTATCGGTATCAATTGGGTAAATATGATGGAAACTTAGTGTTATAAATTTTGAATGAAACTTTAGTTTATATTCATTCATACATATTTGCATATTTTAGTGTCATAGTATAATAAATATAACATGTTAAGAATATTACACTTAATATAGACAAGATTTTGCATTGTCGAAAATATAAAGAAGCAAAATTAAGATTTGGAGAAAGATCTAGATTAATGTGTTGAAATAACTTTAAATATATGAAATAGGGGTTATTGTTATTTCCATATATTGGAATATATGGTTTTTTTTTTTCAATTATGTAAATATTTCTTTTTTAAAAAATATTAATGGGTTTTTGCAGTTAGACTTGTGGATTAGTCGTGGAAATCATCATGATATTTCCATATGTGATAATCAAACTTTAGCTGAAGAATGGTCTTCGGTCTAAACAGTGAGAAATGGTTGGATTTGGATGAAAATTGAATGTGAATGGTTTTTGGGTCTTTGCCAAACCCACAAAGATTTGGAAATTCCACTATTTGAGATCAATCATCCTGGCCTGAGGCAACAAGGGGGAGGTTTCTCAATATCTCCAATAGCTTTGGCAAGAAGAATGCAGTCCTTCTAGGTAAAGACTCGTTCAACAACTACCATCGCATTTTAATGTGTAACATGAAAATTCGTTAAAAATCAAATCTCTTTGCAGAAAAAAAGAAAGAAAGCACATGGTTGACCATACGTGCCATTAAGATTTGGCTATAACAGTTTTTGCTATTACATTTTGATTTTCTGAATTGGTCCCAGGGTGTTAAAAGCAAGGTTATGGGCATCCTCTCTTTTTTTTTTTTTTTTCAAAAATTGGCAGACACAAAATAAAGTAGCAGAAAATGTTGAATTTGTTACCTTTGGAAGAGCCCCACTTGAGCCCTGATGACTAACAAAGTAACATGCGTTAATTTTAAAAATAGTTTGATATTAGTATATCTTGCCATGTTTTCCGGTGTAAAATCACATGATCATGGAGTCATTAAAGCAAGGTTATAATGTAATTTATTTGTCATTATCACAATTTGTATTTGAAATATACAATATAATTGCATAAATCTGCATGGTTGTTATTGGAACTTGTTAGATTCTAGAAGCTATCTCCAAGGATCCAAAACATTTATTTAGCAATTTAGATTAGTTTATCCTTTATTCCAGGCCCATGTTTTTGCTTGTAGGAAAAGAATTAAAGATTCTTGTCAATTCTCTTGCACTTTTTTACCCAAGTCATTGTAAAACATGATCTTGGCAAAAGCCAAAGATAAAAAAAAAGAAAAGCAGGTGGACAATAGGACATATATTTCCACAAATTGTAACGTAAACTTCCCGTCCTATCCAGGCACAATCTTGTTCAATGTCAGTAAGCAAGCATCTCTAAGCAAGCATAATATTTCGGATGATTGAGGCCGCGTCATTGCCATGACTCAAGCCACCGATTTCTGGGGCCCAATGTTCGAAATACTTTGCTAAGCCATTCGTTTCTAGTACTAGAAAAATAAAAAAGAAACTATTTTCTAAAAGTTTAGCCTGCGTTGCTTTCAGCTAAAAAAAAAAAAAGAAAATGAAGAATCGGCGTAATCCAAGGTCACCGTCCCACACCTACCGTCACCACCTCCATATCTAAACAGTTGAAACCTGCAAGTACCAAGAGCCCCGTTCACACTTGCACACTTTTTTTTTTATTATTTTAATTTGGACCATATTATCTCTCGACATTTGACATTAGCATATTTGCAATTGCTGTGTTGGCGCCCCCCATCATCGCAGTTGTAAAGTTTGACTTTTTTTGTGTAGAAATGTCTGTTAAATCCATTCCCCCCAATTATATTTCTATCAATGGTCATGGAATTAAGAGTTTGGTGAACACAAATTTTTATAATTGTAGAATTCTAATTAATCAAGTTGAAATTTTCAATTTTAATTCTACTTGTTTTTTTCACATGGGGTTTCAAATTTTAATATTTCATTCTTTTTTATCATGTATTTATATTTTGCCAAATATTTTTTTTAAATTATTTTCAAATGAAATATATTATTTTTTTAATGATAAGCTTAGAGATTTTTAAAATTTATTTAAATTTAATTTTTTATACCTTCTTTAAGAATACTTTTTTTATATTTTTTTCACAAGGACGTAATCTATATCAATATAATTGTATTCATTTATTATCACCTATCAATTTTAATTTTGCTTTTCTAATTCAAAATTAAATTTTAATATGATGATAATACAATTTTTTAATTTTATAAATGAAATTAAAAAATTATCATATATTTTATTTTTTAATTTTTAATATATTATAAAAATATATTTTATTAATCTTACTTATAAAATCTAAAAATTCTACTGAAAATTAATTAGATAATTTTTATTTTTAAAATAAGAAATGTAATTTCATATCCAGCTCCATGCATATTACTCTATGTTTAAACCGGCAGGTAAATTACAAAATTGAATTCAATAATTAAAAATATGACCTACAAAGGTAAGCCTCATTGATGTTGATATATTGCCACCGTACTATAACATTGTCGCCTATATAATGCATCGAGACACAAATCTTTTAAACTCCCAACAAACGCACACATTTCTAATGTCAATTGAATCTCTTTGTGTTCACACTACAAGCTTTTCACACCTTTCTTCTTTCACTTTTCAAACCCCATCCTTTTTTTTTTTTCAACAATTTCTTTCAAATTTCGGCTGTTTAGTCTTACCCTCTTTTTGTTTTCTCTTCCTATATGAAACCCTCAGCTCTGCCAACCCAAAGAACGATTTTTAGTCCCTTCTTTATTTCTTTGAAATGAATAACGGAGACAATTATAAGCGGCAACGAAAGGAGAGGTTTGCCGACGGAGATGGTTACGATGACGATGATAGCTGTTCAAGTGATCATCAAACCAAGAAGAAAGATTTGAATGGTATTATCACTTCGTTAGTGTTGCTTGAAGAGCAAGAAAAGCGAGACCATGAAGAGCAAAATGAAACATCCAACGAAGAGAAATCGATTTTGGAGTCGACCCATAAGAGGAAAACTCGAACCATGCTTGAATTTTACTCCAATCTTCAAGATTACTACTCCGAAATCGACGAAACCGACCGTATAAAGCGGAAGAAGTCCCGGGTCATGGCGGCCTCCGTCGCCGCGGCTTCCGTTAACGAAGCGGAAAACCAGTCAACGAACAACCGTGACAAACAATCCGGGTCGGGTCAACAGAGGCGGTTATGGGTGAAGGACAGATCGAAGGCTTGGTGGGACGACTGTAACCGACCGGATTACCCGGACGAGGAATTCAAGAAGGCGTTTAGGATGAGCAAGTCAACGTTCGAGCTCATTTGCGAAGAGCTCAACTCCGTTATCGCCAAAGAAGACACAACGTTACGGAACGCGATCCCCGTTAAGCAAAGAGTGGCGGTTTGCATTTGGCGGTTAGCCACGGGTGAACCGTTACGGCTCGTTTCGAAACGGTTCGGTTTAGGCATCTCGACGTGTCACAAATTGGTCCTCGAAGTCTGTTCGGCAATACGCAGCGTCTTGATGCCGAAGTATTTACAATGGCCGGACGAGGATTCGTTGCGGAAAATAAAAGAAGAGTACGAAGGTATTTCTGGTATACCAAACGTTGTCGGATCAATGTATACGACGCATATCCCGATCATAGCACCGAAAATAAGCGTGGCGGCGTATTTCAATAAGAGACATACGGAGCGGAACCAGAAAACCTCGTACTCGATAACCGTACAAGGTGTGGTCGATCCTAGGGGAGTTTTTACAGATGTTTGTATCGGGTGGCCAGGGTCGATGAACGATGATCAAGTGTTGGAAAAATCAGCTCTGCATCATAGGGCAAGTGGGGGATTGTTAAAAGGAGTTTGGATTGTTGGGAGTTCAGGGTATCCATTAATGGATTGGGTTTTGGTCCCTTACACACAACAACATTTGACTTGGACACAACATGCTTTTAATGAAAAGATTGGGGAGATTCAAAGGGTTGCCAAGGAAGCGTTTGCGAGATTGAAAGGGAGATGGTGTTGTTTGCAGAAAAGGACAGAAGTTAAGTTACAGGATTTGCCTGTTGTATTAGGAGCATGTTGTGTTTTACATAATATTTGTGAAATGAGGAATGAAGGAATTGACCCAGACTTGAAATTTGAGCTCGTTGATGATGAGATGGTTCCCGAAGTTGCTTTGAGATCGGTGAGTTCCATGAAAGCTAGAGATGCTATTGCTCATAACCTTTTACATCATGGTCTTGCTGGCACTGCTTTTCTGTAATTTACAAAAAAAATTTGAAGTTGGAATTTGGGAAAACAATGCTAATATTTGTTCTTTTTAAAGATTAGAAATTCATTTTTTGCAATGTAGTATAACATTACTGTAGGGATTAATTGTAAATTTGTTTGAAGGGGATGTGTAAAATTATATATTTGTCCCCTTCTACAAATGGAATATTTGGAATTGTAGTTTGAGTTACAGTGTTAGATTTGCATTACAAGAAGATATTTGGCTTCCTGGGTTTTATACTTCAATTATGAAATAAAGAATATGAATGAAATCAAACATAAAGAAATATTCTTTTAAACGTTCAATTTTGGACTAAGTTATATTGAAATTCTGCTCTTTTTTTTATTCTTTTTCAATTTTATTGTGAATTCTGGGGTTGATATTGGTGCAATTGTTTATGGATTTAAGAAGCTTTTGTGTGTGAAATGTTTCAAGACTCAGCTGTTCATCTTTGATTGAAGGCACATGAATCATTCAGAGAAAGTTAATGTTCATACATTCAGTAGTCAGGACTCAGGACCCGCATTTTCTAAGATAATTTAGCAGTTTCAATTTCTGCATTTTCTTCTCTATGAAATGCTGTCTGCCTCTTTCTCCGTTTCTGTGTTGGATGACCTTCAAATTGGTGGCAAGAGCCAGGATAGCCTGTTGAAATGGGCCCATTCCTTTAGTACTACTTTGGTGAATTTGTTTTATATCTGCTAGGTTCCCAGGCGGTTTAATTTCTTTCTGAACTTGATTTTATGGTTATGTTAATGCTCCATCGTCATATTCAAGGTCATGTTTTGGCAGAATGATGAAAACTCGAGGCAAGTGATTTTCTGGATGAACAAATTTCTGGGGCTGATAGTTTTATCTTCACGCTGAACAGCGAACATGGTACAAAGATGATGAAAATGACTTATTAATTCTTAATGCAGAAAGATGACGTTGTAATTTGTGATAAAAATTAAGAAGTTTCTGAAGAATTTGATCAACACTTGGACATCAAATGCAACTGAAAATTAAAGAAAAAACTACAAGACAAATCAAAATAACTTTAATCGGACGCAAACGGCAAGTTTATCACCTCATTTCTTGGTTTATCAAACAAATAAATGCCGTTGACAGCTTTTTTGTGACAAAACTTCCATTTCTTAATAATATTATAGTCAGGGGAAAATTTATAATTCTGGTGACTTCATCCCTAAGCCTCAAAACCATAGAAATGCTAAAGTCTTTGGCGACTTTCACGCCAAAACGTATTTACCAGTCAAATCTGTATTCTGTCAGGGATGACTTTGAACACCCCAGTTTTAATGACCCATCTTTGTCAGAACATTCCTCAACAAACAAAACAGTGGTAAGAATAAATTCTTTTCACATTTAGTCTATCACCGTCGATGGACGATGCCAAATAAATGAGATACAAGGAGCTTTAGCTGTCAGCCCCCGTATATACAGAAATTGTGAGTAATACAAAATGGATTGCATTTAATTGTCACATTCAAACAGATGGTATAACCTTGCAATTAAAATCTAGTTTGAATATGTGATGGTTTTTTCACATGAAAAAACAGAACTGATCGGGTCTGCATAGGCAGCTGTAACAAACGTTTTACATGATTGAAACGTGTCCATATCATAATGCATCCAAGGTCTCGAATGAGGTCACCATGCATTTTGATCATCACGATCAGCTCCAAGACGGAAAGGACAATGTGCATATTGGATTCTCAAGGCCGGGGAGTCAGGTTTCTTGCATCAAATCTGTATCCTGCAGAAAGCCAACATCCCATCACCTAAAAAAATTGACTGCTAATGCTGTGATACTAATACATGGTGCATACTCAACTTTCTACCTAACAAAGATTGTGAGAAATTGATGAGCATGAAGAGCTTCATCACACTTCATGCTCATTGTCAACTGAATATATGCCACACATGATATTGAAAACAATGATGCCAACAATGAAAATGTCAAGTATTTAGGCTTTAATAAACAAATTATGAAATCCCTTGCATTTTCCTCCTGTCGTTTCTCAACATTCTCTTTTTCTTCTGTTGCACCATTTTTCTTCTCTTTAAGTTCTATATGCAATTTTTTGAGTCTAGATTACCTTGAAGAGCTCGCATGGCAGTCATTTCATACTTTGTGTCATCGAACTCTACAAAGCTCTAAACCATGGCTCTATCTCCACTCTGCAATTGACTTAATTAATGAGACAACTATAGAATAGGGAGAACATAAATAAAACTACATTAATGGAAAAATAGGAAGAAAATATGTTAACATCTCATATATTAAGCCATTTGTCCCTGACACCTTAAGCACAAAACAAATGAATGGTAACTCATCTAAGGAAACTTGGTGTTATTCTAACAGACTATAGCATGCCAAGAAGTTCTAGGAATAACTGGGAAGATAAATCAAGAGAAAATATCAAGTGGTAAACTTACATGTCTTGGTTCCTTGTGAATAACTTTGATCTCCTTGTAGCCAATAAATGGACGGAAAAGATCTTTGATGTTAAGAAAAGGACTAAAACGACCAGAAAGCAATGAGAGTTCTGGATATTCAGGCATAATACAGTTTAATTTTGCATAATATTGTGAAGCAGGTGTCTTTTTTCTAAAACTTTGCTCAAACATTATTGAGATGTTATTTAGGAATATATCCATACTGAAAAGCATGCATGGGAAAAAAAGGATACGGCCTGCTTCTCTGCTTTACAGTCTGTTGGAAGACCATCGACAAACAGAATGTTCGATTCTTGCAGCAACTGGGGGACCATCGCAGTTTCTCATGGAGGCAGGCTTTTCATCAACAGCACCAAGAATACCAGACCTCATGCCTAGTAGACCATCCTGTCTTTGGCCAACTAAGTTTGGATCTTCTAGAGGAAATGGGTAACCCTTTACGTTAGCTCCAGCTGGTACAGCACCAAGGTTGATTTTGGGGTGAAGTTCAGCACTTGGACTAATGCTTACCGGTGCATCCCATCTTTGGCCAACTAAATTTGGAACTTCTAGTGGAGATGAATAACCCCTAATGATAGCCCCACCTGACACAGTACCAAGGTTGGGTTCAGGATGAACTCCAGCACTTGGGCTAATTCCAGGAGCATCTTGTCTATGGCCAACTAAATTTGGAACTTCTAGAGTAGATGAATAACCCCTAATGGCAGCTCCAGTTGATACACTGCCAAAACTAGGTTTGGAATGAATTCCTACACTTGAATTAACACCTAATGGAGCATCCCATCTTTGGGCAATTAAACTTGAATCTCCTAAAGAAGATGGGTAAAAGCCCTTAGGTAGCTCCGGCAGATACACCACCAAGATTAGGTTCGAGACAAACTCTGGAATTTGAAATATCATCTACACCATATATCCCAGGCTGCAATTGATTTATCTGCATGAAAAAGCCAATGAAAAGGAAGGCGCATTCCCAGTTATATGATCCCAATGTTATTTAAGAAAATAATATAATACTAGAAATGCCTTACATCTCTCTTTTGAACATCTGAAGAAGAAACTTGCATATCAGCATGATGGGATGCCAATGAGGGTGCTTCAGATGACAAGTAGCCAGGAAAGCTGGGCCTTGAAATACTACCTGTCGCAATGAAAGTCCACGATCAATAAAACAATGTTAACTTGTTAATATCAATTTGGAGAGCAGACATGGAAAGCACGAAAAACCACCAGAATATTCACTATTAAAGATTCTAAACTGGGGAAGTTTATTTTTTCATCCACCATTGTTTTACCCCTCCACAAAATATAATTGTTGAAAATACATCATTGATTAAATTCAAAAGGTAGCAAAAACAGGGAAAAGCTATCAGAGACTAATGAATAAGGGGAATACAAAGTACTGGTACAATTCATAGCAAATGCAGTTCATTATAAGATATCACCTTCATGATTTTGCACGTGAAACCTTAACCAGTTAGGAATCATGGGAAACCTTGGCATTAGCCATTGCTAATATTAATTACGTTTAAATAAACAAGAAACCCAGTATAAGAAACCCTCCTTAAACATCCAAGAGTGGTTTATGTTAATCAACTCCAAAGTAGTCCAGTTCAAATGGTATCATATAATCACATCCATGACGAGGGAAAAGAAGCTAAATTCAAAGTAAAACAAAGAGTGAAAATTTGCAGACAATAACCCAAAAGACAAAAGCAAACAAGTGAAATTGTGGAAAGCAAAAAAAAAAAAAAAAGTGAAAACTAGGAGTAAATGAAGACGAGAATGAGCACCTCTGTCTGCTACTGTAGCAGGGTATCCAAGGACCCCCCATATGTTTCCAGTTTCCGCAACTCTCCATGTCCTTTAACTTGAAACCTGAAACCGAAACCCCTGTGCTTCTTAGTTTAGTTATTGCGGTTGGCGACTTTGGTGATAGAGAGAGAAAAAATGGGCGCTGTTTGGTTCAGGCCTAAACGGTTCTAGGCTCTGTCTGGTCAGACTAAATAGGCCAATAGAGAAAAGAAAAGTTTGATATAGGATTGTTCTTAGAAAATAAAGATCAATTATATATGAAACCATCTTTTACCTCTTAGACTTAATAGTTAAGACATTTTAAAAAGGATACGTAAATACGAGCGTTTATACTTTTATGAAAAAAAATTATATATGACATGAACCTTAGATTTGATATCAACATTTGTATCAATAAATATCATACCAGAATCAAAACCATTTTTCAAGACATTGCCCTAAATTTGTTAGTTGACATTTAAGTGATCCCAGCCTCAAATATGAAGCAGTTTTCTTTACCAAAAGAAAGTCCATAATTTTCCTTACCCTGCAAAAAAATGATTAGATTGAATTAACAAAGGCAACCACTGACAAAGTTTTTGCTAAAAACTTGCCTAACACCAATGCAACAGCTGTCTTCTGGAGAGCTGCTGCTAAACTGCCTGTCCTAAATGGTGTCAAACATGAAAATCAGATGGACGATTAAACATATCCCTTCTTTTCTTTACACCTCACGAATACAAATGTAAATTTCAACGTTTTCACAGACAGATTATTACAAAAAATGACCTACCAATGGGTTATCATCACATGACCAATAGCTGTCACTGTCCAATAATAAATGCCCACGTTGGCTAGGCTACTACTACCACTAGACCCAGATGAACCGGTTCTTTTTGTACTGGATCATTGGGTCTAATATGGTATAACTCACCACGCACGAGATAATATACACGTGAGTCTGGAGTTATGGCAGAGTGTTGATGGTTTCACAGCTAGACTTCACTGTGAAAATTTCTTAATTTTTTTAGAGACAACTATCCCTGCATTGAAACATGTAGTCTTTCCTCCTCACATGTCCCAAAAAGTACTTCTAACCTAGAATCCTAGATCACTCCCCAGTTCCAAGTTGATTTTGTCACCCTTCGATTTTTTGCGGCTAAGATCAATGGGAGCAATAATGGACACAGTAAATTTGTGTCTGAGTGCAAGAGAAGAGATCAACCCTCTGTTTTTTTTTAAAGCAGCAAAAGACAGCCAATCACTGACCAGAGAATTAAAAAAAGGACACAAGTCCACATCGTATTCTATGCGAGTGGAAAGCACTCTCCAATCACAACCAACATGTGGGCCCTCCTTGCAGTTTTCTTGTCCTAAAATGTGTTAAAATGTCATTTATGACCGGAAACCGACACCTCTTTCCACCGCACCGAGCGTGAGAGCTCCCCCACTCTTACGCTGACAATACTCGTTAAACTTATTGCTTAATAAATAAAAATTTGACCTCCCCTGCTCCCAATATCACCATAAACCCGCTCCAAAGAATCATCAAAGCACCGCCCAATGGCAAAAACGCATGTGGAGTGTTTTCATTGGGTTCGAAGGGAAAGGAGCGTGAGAGGTGGAAGTAGAAGATAGAGAGGAAGATCAGTGAAAGAGCTTTGTTTTCTCTTCTATCATTTCTTTGTTGGCTGTTGCAGTAAATGAGAGTTTTTATTTTTCTTTCGAGAGAGAGAGAAAAGTTGAAAGCTTTTAGAAGAGGAAATATACAAATAAATAAATAAATAAATATATATATAGAGAGAGAGAGAGAGAGAGAAAGCTATACCTTTAGAGAGATAGAAAGAGAGGTTTTAGAGGGAGAGAGGATAGAGGAGAAATGGAGGGCATTAGGGAAGAGGAGAATGGAGAAGAGGTGTTAGGGTCAAGCTTGACGATGGAGAAGGTGGCGGCGGCTAAACAGTTTATTGAGAATCATTATAGAGCTCAGATGAAGAATATTCGAGAGCGCAAAGAAAGGTATTGCTTTTACTTATTTTTGTAAAATTTTTTTTTTTTTTTGCATTGTTAATGATCTTTGTTTGGTTGCTGAGAAATTTAAAAAGAAAAAGTAGGATTTTTGAATGTTAGATTATTGCATTTTTGAGTGAAATCAATGAACTCTGTAGTTAGCTGAACCTAACTTCAATTGCTTCTCTTTTTATTCATTTTTCTGGTTTTTGAACTGATGAGTCTGGTGCTTGCTTTGCTTATGTGGCTTAGTTCCATTTTTTGTTAGTGTTTGGGGAGTGGATATTGGATATCAAATTAGGTTTCTTTGTTGGGAAAAGGAGCATTTAATAGGAGTAATTGAACTGTTTCCCCAAATCAGGTGATTTTTAGAAATTGGATTTCAAAGTATCAAGAAAGATTTGTGTTTTTTTCCTTGCTTTTCTTACCAATTAACGGTGATCTGGTGCATGATTTAATCGTCAATGCAAAGTCGCTCCAGGAAGTTACTATTAACTGTCTTTTGCAGTTTTCTACAAGTTGGCAGTTTTGATGAACCAAACATTTTCTTTGTACTATTGATATATTCTAGTTCTAAGTCATGGATTTTCTTTTTATTTTTGTAATTGCTTTTTCTCTCAGTCCAACCCCCCCCCCCCCCCCCCCAAAAAAAAAAAAAAGAAACCACAACAACAACATAGGGGAATCCTCTTACTTGTGTCCCTAGGAAAGAAAAAAAAAAGAATAATAATGTTAAAAGCAAAGTTTTTGTTTTGGAAAATGATGGAAAATTTGGGACTAGTATAAAAATCTGTATATTTCATGTTTTCTGATTGGTCTTGCTGTTGTTGTCTATGTGATTTGTCGCAAGGTAGTTATGCATTCCAACATATATTCAATTAAGACAATGAAGGAAAGCAGGTGTTGCTTCATTGATATTTAGATGTGAACATTTTATTTGTTGAAAAACTGGTGGATTTCAATACTCAGATTGGTTTATATAAATCACAATCATGATACTGTTCTTTGTGCAGCATGCAGATTTCAATATCTGATTTCCTAGTCAGATTATTATCTTATGCATTTATGCACAATAAAACCTACCAATTACATCTGGTACATGATATTTTCAACTTTATTTGATAGAAGGTCCTTGAATCAATGCTAGAATATGACTTTATGGTTATTTGGGACTGAGATTTATTGCAATGAAGTTTCTTATTCCTTGTAATATTTCTTTCTTCAACCTGATGTATCCTTCTCCAAAATGTTGGCAGCATTCATAAGCTTGGAATTGGTAATGTGGATTTCAAGTTAATAACATGATTTAGTTTCCTTGCAGACGATGGGTCTTGGAGAGAAAGTTAGCTGCTTCTGATGTGCCCAAGGAGGAACAGATCAATCTGATAAAAGATTTAGAGCGAAAAGAGACAGAGTTTATGAGACTTAAAAGGCACAAGATTTGTGTTGAAGATTTTGATCTTTTGACCATTATTGGAAGGGGAGCCTTCGGTGAGGTTAGAATGCTAATGCTTGTTATATTTTGAAGTATTTGTTGTTTCTGATATAAGTTGCTGTATAGTCCCTTCATCTGGAACTATGTTTTGCTTTCTGCTTCTTATTATATCACCGTTCATGCATTGGCTGCCTGCAGTATTTTATTGCTCGCACTTTTTCTGCAGGTTCGACTTTGTCAGGAGAAGAAATCTGGACATATTTATGCAATGAAGAAGTTAAAGAAATCTGAAATGCTTAAGAGAGGACAGGTAACATGCAAATTACCATTCATTAACTGATACCTCTAAAGCCAGAGTTGAGGAGAGTGGAACTTTTGTCAACCATCTGCCCTGTTGGTTTTAAAACTTATGCAGGCACTCTCTACGTGTTAACTTCCATAGATTTTAACCTAACCCCAAGTTTGTTGTATACTACATCAGATTAAGGCATGCATTTGTATCCATTGTTTATTCTTCCCTGATTTTCAGCTGGTGTCTGCTCCTTCGTTGATATCTAAACTTCTTATGAATATCACATGCTTTAAAGTCAACTATTTTGTCATTCTCCATTAGAGTCCTTTTTATACTGCTAATCCAACAAAATTTATTTTGACTCCTTAGGTGGAACATGTTAGAGCGGAGAGGAACCTGCTGGCAGAAGTTGCAAGCCACTGCATAGTAAAACTTTATTATTCATTTCAGGATGCTGAGTACTTATATTTGATCATGGAATATCTTCCTGGTGGTGATATGATGACTTTGTTGATGAGGGAGGATACCTTAACTGAAAATGTGGCCAAGTTTTACATTGCTCAAAGTGTATTGGCCATTGAATCTATTCACAAGCATAATTACATTCACAGGTTAATATTTTAGCTTTCCCTACTATATTGCCTAATTAATTCATTTTGAAGCTGGGTGATATGGTAATTTGTGTTGATAATTGTTACAAGTTATGGTTTAGCCGATCTTATTTCTTTACATTTACTTTCTTTGCAGAGACATTAAACCTGACAACCTTCTTCTTGACAAAAATGGTCACATGAAGCTATCAGATTTTGGCCTTTGTAAACCTCTAGATTGTTCAAATTTACCAGCAATCCATGAGAATAAGCCCATGGATGATGAAAACATGACAGAACCTATGGACATTGATGGATGTATTCCTGATGCGGATAATAAGAGCAGTTGGAGAAGCACTCGTGAGCAGCTTCAGCATTGGCAGATGAACAGAAGAAAGTTGGTATGTATGCACTTTACTTCATAGTTGTATTGTTTTAATGCATGTATTCTTGAAGTACACTCCAGATGAATCTCAAATCTTATACTGCAGTGGCTCAAAATTTTTCCAGCATTTTAATTAATTAAAACACATAACTCCTTAGATATGTTGCTTTAAGGTATAATATTAAACCTTTCTCAAATTTTGCTGTACCAAGTTTTAGTTTTAACTCTTGATTGATGCCCCTTTTATCTCTGAATAATGGCACTGTTTTTTTTTTTTTTTTTCTTTATCAGACCTCTTCTTACCAAACTTAAAGTGAAACATAAAAATCTAGAAGTTTGTTTATACACATGTTTGTAATCAGCGTCTGAACTGTGCGTAAGTTCACTTATTGCTATGTGAACAGTTTCAATTACATACTGGACTTTCTGAGCCGCAGCTAATGGCACACTTCATTCCTATAAGCATTTTTTTAGCTATCTTTCCCTTACAAATTCATTTGTAAATAGCATCACTGTTGACTAGAATTAGCGAATCTTAAAACGCAGAGAGTGACCCAAATTTTTGGTAAATTTCTCATTGAATATTTGCATAAGTGGTAATGCAATTTGAAAAACATGATTCTGTTGCAGTTTTTCCAACAATTTCAGCTATTATTTTTTTGAAGGCATTTTCAACTGTGGGAACGCCTGATTACATTGCTCCTGAAGTGTTATTAAAGAAAGGATATGGCATGGAATGTGACTGGTTAGTTGTATTTCTTTTCAGTTCTCTTTCACTTCATTATTTGCAACTGATTTCTATTAGTTGTTCTCCATTTTTTTACTTTATGTTCATGCATGAGGCATATTTATACTTTTCTAACCGCATGTGGTCTATCATCTTTTCCGGTAGCAACTTTGAATATAGAAGCTAACCGATTGCTGGAAGTTTTGTCTACTTTCTATTGCATATACACACAGGTTTGTCTGTGAAGATCTCAAACCATAACTTAAATAATGATGCCTTTTCTATTGGATTTCTTTTAGGTGGTCGTTAGGAGCAATAATGTATGAAATGCTAATTGGATATCCACCATTTTATTCAGATGATCCAATTACCACATGCAGGAAGGTAATACACTTCTGTCTGGCCTTAGTTTCTTAGCTTCAGTTCTTAGCTTCAGTTGATATTTGATGCATTATTATTATTATTATTATTTCTTCTTTTGTGCTCTCTCCAAGTTCAGAATATTCCACTGAGCGAGTTCTGATTTCTAGTTTGGGCTAGTTTATAACATCAAATCTTTTCCTTTACACGTGGACACTGCTATTATTAAAGAATTCCAATGCAGGATAAACCTAGAGGTTTAATGCACCTTTATATACAATATTACGCTGATAATATTTTATTTAGTCCATAACTAAACATGCATTTAGTCTAGTTATTCCAACAAAGCCAGATGCTTACTTGTACAGCATAATTTGGTTGTTGGTGTTTTACCAGCACCATTGCTTGATATTGCGTTCTGCAAGCATTTTGAGACTATGGCCCTTTTCTTTTAGGCAGTTAAATTTTGTCTTCTCCTAAAAGTTTAATAGTAATACCTATGCACCATGATTGCTTTTGATTTTATTATGCTTGCTGCATTATGTCTGTTGCTTTCCCTCCCCTTTCTTGCAAGTTTAACAGGAACATTTTATCTAAGGTACACTTGATGGAGATATCATTCTTTTTCCTGACATTTTGGTCATCAATTATTTTCAGATTGTGCATTGGAAAAATCACCTAAGATTTCCTGAAGATTCAAGGTTAAGTTATGAGGCAAAGGATCTCATATGTAGATTGCTGTGTGATGTCGAGCACAGACTGGGTACCGGAGGGGCACATCAAATTAAAGTAAGATTATGATATATTAAAATGTTATTTCTTTTCTACCAACTATCTCTTCTTCCTTTGGTTGTTGACATTTTTTAATTTTATCAGGCTCATCCTTGGTTCAACGATGTTGTCTGGGATAAACTCTATGAGATGGAGGCAGCATTTAAACCTGAAGTGAATGGGGAATTAGATACTCAAAATTTTATGAAGTTTGATGAAGTATAACTTGAAATTCCCCTTTTTCATTACCTTTCTTTTTGCTTATTCCAAATACTAATCACTTGCTTCACTATGCATTTGCCCATCTTGCTGAAACTAAAGACATCTTGTTCTCATAATTTGACTATTTTTGGAATTGTCACCAGTTGGATTCTCCAGCACCAGCAAGAACCGGCTCGGGACCCTCACGGAAGGTTTGTAACAAATCATGCTGTCTGTAAACTCATCTTAAGCAGTAGTTTGTTCCAGTACTTCCCAGCTGGTGTATAAGATTTATTTACACATTTTTTTAGTATTTGGCAAGTGTGTGCACTATTATGTGATTCAGTAATGCTATGAATATGCAATCATGGAACTTTATTGCTTGTCCTTTTTTTTTTTTCAAAAGATGGTACTTTGCAAAACAATTCATATCTTTTATCAGTGATCTCTTTCCTGAAATATTGTCTGCTAACACCTTTGGACAAAAACAAATTCATTGATTTTGAGTAGTATATACATTTTTGTCCATGATAATCATTTTGCTTGGTTCTTGTTGTATTTATATCTTGATATATTGGTCTGTGAGTAGTGAGTACCTATCAACACAATTAGATGGTAGAATTTATTTATTTGTTTATTTAATTTTCCTACTTTATGCAGATGCTATTAACACCCAAAGATTTAAGTTTTGTTGGCTATACATACAAGAACTTTGATGCTGTCAAAGGGCTACGGCATTCTTTTGGTATGCAATTTGTCACTGGGTTGCCATGCTTTAACCTTTATCTCTAGTGATGCAGCAGTTTACTTTTGGGGTGTTTGGCAGTAATAAATATCTCTGTTTGGTTGTGAACATACTTGTATTTTGTGCAGAAACAAAGTTTGCCTGTGGGTGAGTAAAAGTTTGGTTTACGTTAGACAAGTTAAGGGTGTTAGATTCAATTTTCTTGTCCTTATCAATGTCGATTATAAGCTTGAATTTGTTGTTCGTATGCTTCTTTTTATCTCATGAGCTAGCATGTAATATGAAATCGGAAGTTTGAATGATGCTACACTAGCACTACAGATGTATGGAATGCCATAATGAACCTTGATTGTTTGTGCCTTTACCTTTCTTTTTTCAGGATTGGCTCACTAATAGTTTTAGGTGGTCTAAGTTACTACTCCCATTTTCTAAATCTTTGTAAAAAATGATAGGAAGTCACAGATTTGACAAATAGATCTTAGTTTCTGTGATAACACAGCTCAAGATGAGGTTGTATGGATAAGGAGTTAGATTTAGATCCATGGATGACAATGACAATGGAGTTAGGATGCACAAGCAATCAATGATATTTGAAATCAATCATGGGTAAACATTCTAAAATGAAGCTTCTACCAGAGATTATTGGGATGTGGTGAATCCACTGCCCATTTTAACTGTTGCTGGTTCATGAACATTGATAAAATTCTCTCAAGAGAATGGGTTTGATGCAGTGTTTCTCAGAGGCAAATTTAGATTTGGGTCTGAACTTTATAGTTGGACTTTTGTGAACCAGAATGGAATAAATTTCCAGCAGAACGTGAGTGAAATACTTGGTTGGGAACTAGAGGCAATTAGGTAAGCCTGCAAGATTAACTAGTCCAAACAAAGACTTAAAAACCACATTCCATGGTAATAAAATCACCTTAAAATGCTAGAATGTGTTGACAGCATTCATTTTGAGAAATGCAAAATGTATCAATGTTTTAGAAGTGTATATTGTAGTTTGTTTTTCATTCGGTATCCAGATTTTCTTTTAATCCAGGTGTGTTGCTTCAGCTGATTGTGCTCCTCTTGAACACGAGGAGATTTGGCATCACCTTCCTAAACTATTTTACTTGTGCAGATTTAAAAAATCCATCAATGGAACAGCAATCTGTTGATTCTATATATGGTAATGGATCTTTCTCTTTCTTCTAGTCTTTCTTTTTTTTTCATTTTCAACTAACTACCATTATGGTAATAGATGTAGTAAGTCTTTCTCCACTATTAAATGGATTAAGTTTGTTAATATCTGCAGGTGATTCAGGGATAGGATATTCTCCTAAGCGATCAGCTGAGGAAACAGAAGTGCAAATGCTTGCATCAGCAGGTGATCCCATGTTGCCATAAAGTAACTAAAGGGAAAACCTCTTACATGGATATATGGATATTTCGGCTTGTTTTAAGTTAGGCAATCCTCCAAGATCTGCAGTTCTTATGCAGTGGCTGCCATCCGATCCGTGGAACCACTTTGTTAAATGTACAGTACTATTTAAGAAAATTTTAAAATCCAGTTGTGAGTCGACTGTTAGGAGAAGCAAAGACTCTTTTTCAGCCTAAAAGGCTTTGTGTATTAGAAGTTAGATCAGAGTTCTGAAACTTGATGCACTGGCTGCCCAGGTTGGCTGCGGTAAATTTGCCTTCTCTAGTGGTAGTTTCTGGTCAAAATTTTAATTGATAGCAACTCCTGATAAACTCTATAGCCATTTTGGGAGCAATGATCCCCCCATTGTTGTGTGTAAACTATTATTAGCAAAAACTCGAATTTAACTAAGAGGAAATAACATTTTGCTCACAAAAATACCTTCTCAGTAAAATTGTCCATTGAATTACTCGTACTACTTTTGTCGTATGATTGTGCTTTTGAGGTTTTGTCAACTTCTGAAAAATGTTGTTATTTAACAGTTTTAAGCAATTCTCCCCTGTTCCTTTCTGTGGCTATTGATGTAAGTGCTCCCTGCGTGGACCATTACTACAATTCTCTATTCCAATTTGCCTAGTTTTAGTCCTTCTGAACAGTGGGGCATTTAGTGTTCTGACTTAAGTTGACGGAACCATTCCAAGTGAGGAGCTCCCCAGTTGTTACTAGAAAACATGATTAAGCAACCTCAAGACTCCAATCTGGCATGGATTTTTCTTTTAATCTATCATCTGACATGTATTTGTTTTGCAGGTTAGGATTCAATATTCTTATTTTCCGCTAGGGAAAACAGGATATTCCCCTTTTTTTCAACCAAAAACGGGATTGTTATTGTCTGAAACTGAGAAAATAGAACCCTCTGAGTTAGGCCTTCAGGATTGAATTTGGTCCAAGGAAATGATGACTCGAAAGAATAAAACTGAATTGGTTTAAAGTCTTGACCTTGAATCCATGGAAAATAGAGAGGTTTCGTGCCTTAAACAAAAAGTCAATTGCTATTGACTTCAAAAGTAAGCGGAACAAACAAGGAAACTAGAAAACGAAATTTGTAGCTTTTTTTAGTGATAACTACGGTTGAAAACAGGAAGGTCAGACTTGAGCCTTACCTAAAATGCAACCAAATGAGTGTTGTGGGTAATTAAAAGGTCAAGTTTTAGCATTTATTTAACTATAATGAACATGTAATCAAGTTGTCTAGGTGAGATTTTGTCACACACACACAGATACGTGGTGATCCTTTGAGAGATGGCCAGGTTAGTGGGTGTATAATTTTCATTCGAGGCAGTTTAATATTGTGTTGATTTTCACTTAGTGTCATACTCATTCACCCAACGAAACCAAACCCAAAATTAAAAAGAATTACTAAAAGAAAAAAAATTAGGAAGGACAAAAGAAGAGAGCATTGAGATGGGTGGAGATGCTTTAATATGCTCTTCAAGATTTGACATCTGTCATCTCTTTCTTTGTCTCCCTCTTACACCATTGGACACATGCTCCCTTCCTCTCTCTGTCTTTTCCCTTTTACTAATGCATTTTTCTTTATCTTTAATTTTTCTCTTCTCTTTCTTCTCCACTCCTTTTCCTTTTGCTCCTTCAAGTTTCAACGCCCAGATATTATTATTGTATGTATGCATGTATAAACAAAAGAAAAAATAATATAAAAAATCAATCTCTTTTTTTTTGAAGGAAAAAAATCTTTTCAATCCTTATTAATCGCATTGAGCTGTTTACCATTTTTAATTTAATTTAATTTCTTTAAATAGTAAGAAAAGTCAGTCTCTTTGTTTTCTTAGCCATTTGATCTTTTTTTTTTTTCTTTTTCATGTCTCATCTCCCAGATGTTCAAGCTCCCTGCTTGAAACAACTATAAACAGAAAGGGAAAAAGAAGACTCCACTACAGTTACAAAATTAGGTAGTAGTCATTCTTTTTTTTTTTTGTTAAAGTTTCTATATTTACTTGCCTTTTATTGATTGTAATTGTAGCCAATTATTTGACACAGAGAGGGAAGGACTGGGGTGGGGAGAGTAAAAATTACAAGAGGCTGAGAAGGGTTGCCTCAGATCCAGGAAACTCTTTAAACTTTCTAGGGTTTTCTTGTGATTCTTGAGACATCAACTTTCTTGAGTTCTTTTTCATGACCTTTTTTTTTTCTTCTCCAAGCCTTTCTTTTTGTGTTTGAGGATAAAGGGTTGGTTTTAAATTTGATCTAATTGTGGATGTCTTAAAGTTATTATTATTATTATTATTATTATTATTATTATTGGTTTGTGTGGATATTAAGTTGTTTCTCTGGTTCTCTGTTATAACTGTAGTTAATGGAGGTAGATAAAGAAGAGTCCAGAGAAGAAGTTGAAAAATGCATAATCAAGGTCTAAAGTAACTATTTTTGCGTAGTAATTTCCACGAATGGAAGTTTGGATACACTTGTAGTTGACCAGATCTGACCAACCCATTTCCCTTTCACTACCTTTTTTACTGACCCATAAGTTGCAAACCCTGAATTTGCATCCTTTTTTTTGGACACCTTTTAGTTAAACAAAGCATGGGAAATGGTCTGTTAAAACCCACCAATCACATTCCATTGTCATTCTTTATTTCAGAAGAAGGGGATAGTTTCGTTGAACAATGACAGGTTGTGTAATTTTTGAGGGGTTGGAGGGTAACTTTTTGTACTGCTCAGATAGGGATTTTGATGGAGGAGATGTCTCCGACGGTCACGGTGCCATTTAGATTAGGTAATTCAGTTTGTGAAAGCTCTACCTTTGCTACCCGTATGGACATCACAAGACTTAAGCTTATGGCAAATCCTGCTGGTATTTTAACTGATTCTACAACGAAGGCTACTAACCAATCAGTTACTGGTGAAGATGTGGATTGTAAGTGGGCTGATATGGAGACTGAAGAAAGTGGTGTAGAGGTTCCACTGACAGAAGAGGTCAAGGGAGAAGGAGCTACCTCCTTGGATATGATATCTGATAGTAATGTTGGTTGGATTGCTAGTAATGATGTTATAGCTCAAGAAAGCGAGGAGGATTCTTTTACTTTGGAAGGTGTTCATGCTTTTGATCTTGATAGCTTTTGTTCACTATCAGTGGCAAGTGAGACTAGTAGTCTTTATGGAGAGGATTTCCTGGGTTTTGATGCTACCTCTGAGGTAGGAACACCGAGCTCTGTGGACAACGAGAAAAGCATTTGCGGTGTAGATATTATTGCAAAGGCCACCAAGTTTGTGGAGTTAAACGTTGAAACAGATGTTGCAAGTGATCCCCTTGCTGCGGCAGTAAGCCTTGAGGAAGAGATTGGAGAGGGGTCTGAACAGAAGCCATCTGCAGTGCTTCTTCAATTGGCTCTTGAAAAGGAACCAAGTACAACAGTTCCGGTTCCACGCAGTGTATTTGAGGTGGAGTATGTGCCTCTTTGGGGATTTACCTCTATATGCGGAAGGAGACCTGAGATGGAAGATGCAGTTGCTGCTGTGCCTCGGCTTTTAAAGGTTCCAATTGACATGCTAATTGGTGATCGGATCCTTGATGGCCTTAGCAGGGGCTTTGCTCATCAGACTGTTCACTTCTTTGGGGTCTATGATGGTCATGGAGGCTCACAGGTTATTTTTGCAATTTCCTTTTTATCTTTCGTGTTTAGCTTTCTTTCGTTTCCATTAAATCATGCATGAGATGTCTTGGAAATAAATTTCTTTCTTGGTGTTCACCATTGTACAGGTTGCAAATTACTGTCGTGAGCGTATTCACTCTGCCTTGGCTGAGGAAATAGAGTTTGCTAAGGAATGCAGGAGTAATGAAAGCATAACTGATAGTTGTCAAGATCTGTGGAAAAAGGCATTTAGAAATTGTTTTGTTAAAGTTGATGCTGAGGTTGGTGGACAACCTAGTCAGGACCCTCTTGCCCCAGAAACAGTTGGTTCTACTGCTGTTGTTACCCTTATTTGTTCTTCCCATATTATTGTAGCAAACTGTGGAGATTCAAGAGCTGTCCTATGTCGTGGGAAAGAGCCCATGGCTTTGTCTGTGGATCATAAAGTAAGAGACTGCAAATTGCACCTTTATATTTTCTTGTATTTCTTCATCAACTGTTGGGAACTTATACCCTTTTGTTTTATTCTGTTCATATTTCTTATTAGCCAAATCGAGAAGATGAATATGAAAGGATTGAAGCAGCCGGAGGCAAGGTTATCCAATGGAACGGGCATCGAGTTTTTGGTGTTCTTGCAATGTCAAGGTCCATTGGTACGTCTTCAGTTATAATGAACTTTTTTTTTTCCCAAGAATTGAACACTTTTTGTTTTTCCTCCCAATAATTTTTTATATGCTTTTTTTTTTTCAAACAATAATTTGAAAAGGAGAGAGGGACATCTTTTCGTTAGACAAATTTCCCCAAATGACATCCTATTCCTCGTCATGGTTTATATCTTGTGAACATAGTCATTATCATGTTGTAAGTTGTTGCTCGTATATATAAAGCAGAATACAACATATATCTCTTGTGAGACAGGATTACACGGTGTGCCCATGTGCCTCACCTGGGACGCTAGCTATGGATCTGTGTATAATAATGCTTCAGAATTGGTTGGATTTGACACTGTTCTGTATAACTAACTGTTGAAATGTGTTAATGGGGATTGCCAGGGTAGTAATTCAAAATCTGTTACTGTTTTGCTCGAATTTTTTTACTTTACCTTCCGGCATGAAGTTCCTTTGGCTATGCCTACTTTCAAAGTCTTGACTTATTTATTGGTGTGGCATATGCAGTATCTCTTTTATGCCTTGTTGAATTCTGTGGGGAACCCTTTTTTTAATGAACTGTTCAAAAGTTGCAGCTGTTGTATGGTAAAAGAAAATTTCTTCAACTTGGCCCAAAAGAATTGTAACCCTTGAAAGAAGATTGGTGAATGTTGGGGAGAGCAATAGATTATAAACATCCTTGCAATTGTTTTTCTTTTCATCAAAGTTTGCATGATAAAACAATGTATCCTGACTGATATAGAAGTCACTTTTTGAGTATTAAACCTGTAACGTCATAAACATTGCAAGCAAGGAACCTATAGTGTGGTATTTGTTATCATTTTTCCTTTCTTACAAGGATATCTTACATCTGTAATAGTAAGAAGAATCCTGTTGTCCTCTAACTATTAAAGGAATTCCTGCTGTGCCTTCAGTATCCAATTGGATGTTCTATCCTTTGAGTGATATTTTTTATATTATAAATTGACATCAATCTTATATGATTTAACTTTCAATGAACTTCAGATTATGCTATTAGTGCTGTCATTTCTCTAAACGCATGCACCAGTTAGCTATTTCTTTTTGTTAAACGTGTTGTGCTAGCATTCTGAGGATAGTTGCTTAGGTGCTGCTTTCATGTAGCCTTACAGGATAATAGATTATAAACTCCTCTTGTCAGGTCACAAACTCACTTGATTGCAGATATTTCCGATGTTTATATGGTCATTCAAGTGCACTCAGTTGATGCTTGTGTTGTGGGAAGCCTGTGACACTTGTCATAACTAATCATAAATAATTTGACTGGACAGAAGAATTAAAAATTGAGAATACCATTCTTGTTGTTTCAGGTGATAGATATTTGAAGCCATGGATCATTCCAGAGCCAGAAGTGATGTTTGTTCCAAGGGTGAAAGAAGATGAATGCCTCATTTTGGCCAGTGATGGTCTATGGGATGTTATGACAAATGAAGAAGCATGTGACCTGGCTCGGAGACGAATGCTTCAATGGCACAAAAAGAATGGTGCTACACTGACTTCAGAAAGGGGTGAGACAATTGATCCTGCTGCCCAAGCTGCAGCAGAATACCTTTCAAACCGAGCTCTCCAAAAAGGAAGCAAGGACAACATTACAGTACTTGTGGTGGATCTGAAAGCTCAAAGGAAGTTCAAGAGTAAGACATGATGGTCTGTCAACCATCATTTGGTCCCCAATCTTGCCATATGACATAATTTCATACGGTTCAATATAGTTTTTCCCATTTGTTTATCACGGGGGGCTCTGTGGCTTTATATGGCAGTATCAGTCTATATGTGTAGTATAGAACATGCACCATTCTAGTACCTCCATTGTTTCAAGAGTCTTGATGTAAACCATGCCAAGTTCTGGCTATTGTAAATCTTAGCTGTGCGTAGGAAATAGGAGATTATGTCAGTTCCATGCTTTTGACATTGTGGGAAATTGTATTCATTGTGCCTCCGAGTTAAAATTCACTCTGAGAGGTATTTGTTTTATATTATTTCAACCGCATAGTGCGTTGGTGCTTATAAGAGTCGGCAAATTTGGAAGGTAACACTACTGACGAGACGTTTCTAGTTTGTAGCACGATAAGCCGGCCAATGCTTATGGTTTTGGAAGTGATCATTTTTGGCCATGTAAAGTGCTTCCTTTCTCACAGTGCCTGATAGGTGTGGAAATTTGGGTGTGAATGTTTATAACGTTGGCCTACTTTTTTACTTGAATGTTTTTCATTCTCCATTATTCTCCAAATGGACACTGGTTTGAGTGTTTTTCATCCCATTTTAACTTGAAATGCAAATTGTCGATGCCACTTCCATTATTGATTGATATGAGTCTGGTACACACAAGTCATGAGAATTCTAAAATTCACTCCAACAGCTTTCCTGTGGAGAAGGAAAGAAAAGCAAAAGAATGGTAATAATAAATTTAAAGAGTAAAATATAAAAGATTATCCTAGTTTTTCCGGATTGCCAACTTCTTCACGGTCTCCGCCAGATCTTTCTCCTTCCCAATGTTTTGAACCCACTTGGCATTGATCCGGACTTGTTCAATGCTCTGCTTCAGGGTTCTATTCATTGAAGGCTTTGTTCGATTTGCAAAGAACTGCTTTACTTCCTTCACTTTCTCAGTCGAAGCAAACTGTGATGGGAGATAAAAAAAAGTAGAAAAACAATCAAAGCATTGATAAATATTTTTAAAACTGATATTGAGAGCAAGTAAGAACAGGAAAACCAGAGGATTCAAAACAGAAACTGCAATGGAGAGGACAGGGCACAAACCGGCGAAACAACTGAACTGACAAAACGAGTTAATAGATGTCCATTACCATAGGTTGCCCAGATGCGATCCCAGTTATCCTGTATGCCAATAATTAAACAGAAAAGAAGAAAAAAATTAACCTCAGCTAAAAAAGAAGAAGCAGAAGAGTCTCAGGCTGTTAGTTTTACCTTGAGCCATTTCCAAGCAACTTCACGTCCTTCCTTGCTAACAGCAAGTCCAAAAACAGCATCTTGGCTGCGAACCTAATGAACGTGGAAAATGGTCTTGATACCATAGAACTCAAGGGGTTTAGTTGATCAAGACAGATGCTAACTTTTGAACTAAGAGTTAGAATACCTCAGAAGATAAGGCAAAGTTTAGAGCTTCGAGAATTATACCCTGATCAGGGCTAGATGTCAATGAACCTACAGAAAAACAACTATATAGTTGTCAAAAAAAATTTTTAGATTTCAATCATCCGTATCACAGTAAAAAAAAAAAAGATTTGTCTGTACCTAAGACGCGAGTTTTCTCCTGGCTTAGATCAGCCTCTCTATAAACTCTCAAAAGAGATTCATAACCTGCTTTGTTGGAGGAGCTGACTTTCTGCATTACAGCTACGTATGCTGCCTGCAAGCATGGTCATTGGTCAATTGATTAAAAGCTTAGTCGGTAAAATTCTTTGGTTTGTTGTACTAAGAACATGAGATCAACAACCTTTCTTATGTCAGGATGCAGGAGTGGTGTGTTTCTATTGTCCAAGAAGGCATGAAATCGCGAAGTTGCTTCATTCAGTGTCTCCTTATGCCCAAGCATGGCAAGGGCAGTGAAAATATCTCCTCTCGACATAGCGTCCAGATGACTTTCACCTTGTTTAGGGTCCCAACCAAGCTTCCTGTAAGAAAAGCAGAACATAAATGAAAGACAAAAAAAAAAAAGGTAAATGCAAGAAGCTGATCTCACTTAATTTACTCTGAGTGATCCGAATTTGGTTAAAAAGATGTATAATGAAATCAGGTTCAATTTGCTTACGGAGATTAAAAAGGATCGCCTTCCCCTTGATGCCTTTGGTTAACTTCTTACAAGCTAAAGCACTAAAATGGATTGGTAATTTCGCTCATTCATTCCTATTTTAGTTTTAAGAACTGGATTACTAATCAACCATGTCATGTAATATAGCCATCCATATCTAAATAACTTACTCAGCGGAATACAGGAAAAGGCCAATAAAAAATTGCTTGATGTAATTCATTAGTTCAGGTCTTGCATCTGCGACAACCCTTCCAACTTTATCAGTTATCTGTGAAATGCAGGAGCCAGAATCAGGACTACGAGCCTAATTGAAGAAAACTTGAACAATATAAGAGGTAATCATTGCCTTAATCAAGTTAGACAGCACAGTATGCTCAAGTTCCTCCCTGTAGGCATCCATGAAGGTAAGCAAGGAGGTCAAGGACATCTGACGTGCCATGCAAATCGCAAACGAATCATCCAGAATGCCTGTTAACAGAATATGTAAATGTATAACATCTCTTTTTTTACCATCCAAGTGTTGGGTATGAACTAAAGAAAATGTATTCACATTACCAAGTCTGTCTGTTACGGACAAGTTTTTGTTTTCTATTGCATATCGAAGTTTAGCTGCAAGGCCCTCATCATACTTTACCCTGAAGAAACCAATCTGCTCCACATTAAGCTTTATCCAAGAATGTGCTGGATCACTACTTTTATTGGTGTCGGACAAGAAATCCTTTATATTATGAGTTTCAGACTTTTTTTCCAACAAGAAGCTTTTCCGGCTGGTATATTCACCGCAGCAAAATGTCATTGGGATAATCCAGTGCCCATCCCCACGGGAACCGCTATATAAGAATTGTGACTGCCATTTATTATGTAACAGGTTAGAAAGCAACCCTAATTTTAAGATCAACATAAAAATGAAATCATCATACAATGAAACAGCTGACTCTGCATTTAGATTAAGAGATACGAGATATCATTTCAAAGTTTTAATTGGCCAGTAATTAATCAAAACATGAATAAACCTGCTCAATTTCCAATGTCTGTTTTTTCATTTTGACGGAGACAACTGGATACCCCTTCTGCTTTGTCCATGAATTCATTATCTTGTTCACAGGTACACCACATCCCTCCTGAAGTGCAGCCCTAAGGTCTTCTGTCCTTGCATTTGACAATTCATGTCTTTTTATATATGTAGCAAGTGATTTCTGATAGCATTTACATTTAACTTCCGGTTAATCAAAAGAGAATAATAGTATAAACTTTAAGTTCGTAAAGTTAAAGACAATAAATAACATCAGAAGTATTTATAATACAAAATACTTTACAATATGTAAACCTTAACGCTAGGTAGTCTCAAAGATTTATTTAAAGTTGAAACTCAAAACAGGCATATAGAAAAGATCACCACAGACGAGAGGAAGTCTTGGATTAACTGCTATAAAAGCACATACATTTAACTAACAAGAAGACCGACCTGAAAGTTTTGACCTCCTAAATAGTCTCGTAGCATCCGGATAATTGATGCACCTTTTTTGTAGCTTATCATATCGAATATTTCATCAATTTCAGAGGCATGATTTACCTCCACCTTCAAAGCAAAACATGTTTAAGATCAAATTTTGTAGAAAGAAAAAGGCAGGTATATCAATCAGCTGTTAATGGCATGGAAAAAGATAAGCTTGGTGCCCATTCACCTCGATTGGGTGGGATTCTGCAAGCCCATCCAGCCTAAGACCTTCACTAGATTCCTGATCAAAAAATTGTGTCCATATTTTCCATTCTGGAAACAACTTATCTTTTGCCAAGTAGCTCATCTGAAAATGCACAATAATTAATAAAAAGCACATGCTGGTGACAGTAACAATGGTGAGAATGGAGACCAAGAAAAAGAGAAAAACAAAAAGTGCCATACCCAGGTTGCAAAACCCTCATTGAGCCAAAGGTCTGTCCACCACTCCATAGTTACAAGATTTCCAAACCACTGGTGTGCCAACTCATGAGCCACCACTGTTGCTACCTAAACACCAACCAAGCACACTAGTCAAACATTTTCTGTAACTGTGGGAAAGGAGAAACATATGTGAAAAAGAGACCAACGCCATATGTACTAACCCTCTGCTTGTTGGCAGCCGCAGAATGCTGATCATCGTAGAGCAAAGCTGTTTCACGATATGTAACTAGGCCATAGTTCTCCATTGCCCCAGCAGCAAAATCTGGGATTGCAACCATATCCAATTTGGGAAGAGGGTATGGAATATCCAAATAACTGTAGAAATTAATTAGTACAATAAGTGAAATAGATTGTAAGCAATCTCCTGCTTGAAAAACTAAAAGCATAAAATAAGAATAGCCAATGGGGTTCCCTGGTTTGCATCTGTCAGCTTGTTTAGGAATAACAATCAACACATAAATTTATGTTAGTCTAAAATATACTCTTTGTAAAACCCAAGCGTCTGCACAGCAACACCCAAAGCAAATTTCCCTTGATTTGCCTTCCCAACTTGACAATATACTCGAACTTTGATCCCTGTGCAGAGATATAGGTAAGTGAACGATAGCAAGAAACAGGGCTGCACTGTCATAAGCAAGCAATGATTAATACCATCCGATGTATGAGCCTCAATGTAATCAAACAAACCAATAACGGCTGCCACCAGATATGTAGACATGACTGGTGATTGTTGATAGTAAACTGTCTTCAGATGCCCATGCAGTTTCTCCTCAATGACTGGCATGTTTGAGAGGGCCACTAGTTCAGATGGAACATCCAATAATGTCATCTTGAACTTAGCCTGTAAAACGTGTTGTCAAAACATGAAGCAATTTTAATGATGTCAAATATGAAGCTGCATACAAATAATAAAGCTAAATTTTATATGTAGATCAGATAAGATAAAAATTTTCAAAAAACAACCTTGAAAGCAGCTTCATCCCAACATGGAAAGCATTGCCTAGCATAAACTGGCTCAAACTGTGTAACTGCCATATTCTTCTTCTCGCCATTATGCTCATAAGTACTGAATTTCAAAATATGATAAAAAAATCAAATAAATATTGCCTTTTTACCTACTTTTTTGAGTTTTGACAACCAAAAAACATGAAATTTTTGTTTATGACTATATATACCTTCGATAGAATCCCTTCATTTTGTCATTTAAGATTCCATTAAACCCAATTGCCAAAACTCCCATCCCCTTCGGAAGTGTCTCAGCAAAATCCAAAACCAAAATCTCGTCCGCTTCAACCATCCCTACTTTTGACGCCTTAAATACCTGCTTAATATATAACCAAGACAATTATATTTCTATATCCCATTAAGTTGACTAAAATAGAACACCTTAAAGGAAATGGAAAAATGTGGAAATGAAAGTTGCAAAGAAAGAGTTTGTTTAGAATGGAGATGGTGGAAGAAACCTTAGAAGAGGTTAGATTGGAGAAGGAGACGGAACCAGGGTTAATGGAGAGCTCAGCAGCATTTAGGACAAGGAAACGAGTATCAGCAACGATGTCAAGGTCGATAGAGACAGAACCAACAAATTTGCAGGCTGCGACGTCGGGTGTCAGGTGAATATCATAGCGTTTGGGGACAGCGAATTTGGGGAGACGAGGTTGCCCTTTGAAGTGACTCTCAGTTCTTGAGGGAGTACGAGATTTCTGGAAACAGTGAAGGCACTTCTTAAACAGAGACATGACGAAATTTGTTGACAGGTCACAACTCTCAAGACGAAATGAATACGAGGAATGGTGTTTTTATTAAGAATTATATTCAGAAACTGTTGCAAAAAAAGAGGCAAAACTTTGAGAGAGCTATAGAAAAGTGAAAGCGAAGGGTGATAGAGACTACAAAGGTTTGCCATGCATATATAGCTTTTGGCTAGAGTGAAAGAAAGTGTTGCATGCCGCGGGGAGATACGTGTTTGTTGTTGAAGTTCTAATTTAGAATGAAATATTTTCTATAAATGGATTTTACAAGTAGACAAACAAAGGCAAGGACTAGAGTATTAGATGCTTGCTTAGCAACTGAGGCACTTCAAGTTTTGCACTTCGTTTAATTGGCTATCGGGAAAAAGAAAAAAAGGCCAAATATTTATAAAATATTTATATTTGGATTATGTCATGTATTGACGTCTTAATCATGATTTGTCTCTGTTTTGAAGTATTGAATATGCTTTTTCTTTAGAGATAAGATAAGCATCTTATCCATCAAAAAATAAGTATTTTTATCATTTATTTGTTTGTTTATTATTTATTCCAACTTTAAACTGCTCCGTATCTATCGAAGGATAATGGATTCTTAAACTTCAACGTCTTTAACCCTTGCTTGTGCCGCTCCATTTACTTTGTTCTTCTTACTCGGTATCGGTGCTGGTTCAAAACAGAATAAGTTTTGATTTACCTTCTTTTTCTCTTTCTCAGTGTTCCCTATTTGAGAAACGTTTTTTTTTTTTTTTTTTTGTTTTCTTTCAATCTCATAGACATTTCCCAAAAGCACCTTCAAAAACCAATTTTCATTCATTTTCTCTTATCTTGTCTCTTATTTTGTTGCTATTTTCCTAATGGCATTTAGCTATGTGGAAAAGACGCTAGAGAATAACTAGAAATAACTGACGCTCGATGCATTATTATTATTATTATTATTATTATTATTATTATTATGTAACACCTTTTTAATTTTGTTTGTAGAGTTAAAAATTTTAATTATTAGTTGATTTGATAAATTGTCTATTATTATTAGTCAGTTAGAAAAAGTATAAAAACAGTAAAAGCCAACCCGAACGGCTCAAATGAGCTTAGGAAAAGAAAAATAATAGTAGTAAAAGAAAATCAATCTTAATGTTTCCTATAAGCTAACTCCTGCACGGCCTCACCCAGATTTTTCTCTTTCTCAATGCTCTGAATCCAATTGGCGTTAATGCGGACTCGCTCAAGGCTCTGCTTCAACGTTCTTGCAATTGAAGCCTTTGCACGGCTTGCAAAGAACTCCTCCACTTCCTTTGCTTTCTCAAATGAAGCAAACTGTGTACAAGGAGTAAAATGAAACGAAAATTTTATGATATCTCTACAATGAAGGGTAAAATTAAGCACTGAAACAATTTAAGATTATAAATTATAACGAAGTTAGGGAGCAAGAGGGCAGGGCACAAACCGGTGAGACAATTGCACTGACAAAGCATGTTATCAGGAATCCAGAACCATAGGTTTTTACGATGAGATCCCAGTTATCCTGTATTAGCATCATCAGAGAGATAAAAAGAAAAGAAATGGAAGAAAAATAATAATAAAAGGGGTATTTCTGTTCTTCATATTACAAACTGTAGATTTGTGCAAGATGCATTGCCCAAAGATTGGTTATTGACTAGCATTGCAAGTTCCCACACTTTCAAGACTAAGACACTCTCTTCCGCAAGATAATGTCCCTCTTCCCCCCTAGTCCATACTCCTTCCCTTGCCCAAAAAAAAAAAAAAAAAAATTGAATGCCCTGGTAACTAGTATTACCTTTAGCCATGTCCAGGCAACTTCACGTCCTTCCTTGCTAACAGCCAGTCCAAACACAGCATCTTGGCTACGAACCTGAGAAAAAAAGAAAAAAAGAAAAGGAAAATGTTGTTGACACCATTGGACTTCAGAGCACTTCACCAAGATAAATGCTCACTATTCAACCAACAGTTAGAATACCTCAGAAGACAATGCAAAGTTCAGAACTTCAAGAACTATACCCTGATCTGGACAAGATGCCAAAGAACCTACAAAAATAAACAAGTAATATAATTGTCAAATTCAGACTCAACCATCTGAATCACAATGGCAAGGACTTTTCAGTACCTAGAATGCGGGTTTTCTCCTGGCTTAGGTCAGTCTCTCTATAAACTCTCAAAAGAGACTCAAGACCTGCTCTGTTAGAAGAGTTGACTTTCTGCATTACAGCTACATATGCTGCCTGAAACCATAGTTAATAGTTAACAGGTGGGTAAAAAGGACCATAATTATCTCAATTAATCCTTCACAATCAACAACCTTTCTTATGTCAGGAGGAAGGATTGGTGTGTTTCTGTCGTTCAAGAATGCATGAAATCGCCTACTTGCTTCAGCCAGTGTCTCCTCGTGCCCAAGCATAGCAAGTGCGGTCAAAATTTCTCCTCTCAACATTGCATCCAGATGACTCTCACCTTGCTTAGCATCCCAACCAAGCTTCCTGTAAGAAATTAAAACAGAATCAAAAGTGTAAAAGCAAGAAGCCTATCTCCCTTAATTTATATTTAAGAGTGCTATCTACGTGGGTCAAAAGATGTACTAAGATTAGGCTTCCATTTGCTCAAGAACGAAAGAACGAAAAGAATCCTTCTTCTCTTGAAGCTTTAAATGCTGGTGAAAAGATGTAACAAGGCCAAGTTTTCATCGGCTTATGAAGATTAAAAAAATCCATTCTCTTAATTTCTTTGGTCAATTTACACGCTCAAGCACCTAAACTGTTTGATAACTTTGATTCACTTTTGTTTTAGATTAAGAATTGGATTAAATAAATGGTTGATAGCTTCTCAATCAGTTTTCAAAATAGTCATATGTGTTGTTACAATCCAATCAGATTTAACATATACTTGAAGTTGTCATTAATCCAGCATGCCAAGCAGTAATCCAAATTGCCAGGAAACCAACAACTACATTTAAGATAACTTACTCAGCAGTATATTGGAAAAGGTTAACAAAAAATAGATTAATGTCATCCATTAGTTCAGGTCTTGCATCTGCTGCAATTCTCCCAACCTTATATGTTATCTGTGAAAAGCATGAGCCAGAATCAGGATTCAGAGCATAATTGAAGTATATTTAAACAAGATAAGAGATGAACATTACACTAATCAAATTAGACAACACAGTATACTCAAGTTCCTCTCTGTAAGCACCCATTAAGGTAAGCAAGGAGGTCAAAGGCAGCTGGCATGCCATACAAAGTGCAAATGAATCATCAAGAATGCCTGTCAAAGAAAGAAGATTAACTTATCTCTTTCAGCATTCTAGAATAATATGCAATCTAATGAAAAATATTTAAATTACCAAATCTGTCAGTTGCAGTCAAGTATTTGTTTTCTATTGCATAGTGGAGTCTAGCTGCAAGGTCCTCATCATATTTTACCCTATAGAAACCAGTCTGATCCACATTAAGCTTTATCCAAGAATGCGCTATACTGCTTTTATTGCTGTCAGACAAGAACTCCTTTATATCATGAGTTTTGGACTTTGTTTGCAACAAGAAGCTTTTCTTCTTGTCATATGACCCACAACAAAATGTTATTGGGACAATCCACTGCCCATCCCCATGGGATCCACTAGAGAAGAATTGTGACTGTCATTCATCACATCAATGGTTAGAGCACTAACTTCAAGAACAACATGAAATAAAAACCATCACAAAAAGAAACAGCTGCTATGAATTTGAATTAAGAGATACAATTTCAAAGTTCAATTGAAATGAAAACCTCATCTCCCCCCTCCCAATCCACCCGACCCAAAAGAATCAAACATGATTAAACCTGCTCAAATTCCAACTTCTGATCTTTGACTCTGACAGAGACAACTGGATACCCTTTCTGCTTTGTCCATGTATTCATCAGCTTGTTCACTGGTTCACCAGATCCCTCCTCAAGGGCAGCCCATAATTCTTCTGTCTTTGCATTTGAGCAAGCATGTTTTTTTATATATGAAGCAAGTGACCTCTGATTGCAGAAATGTTTTTCATGTAAATAAATCAAGTTAGCATTTAAGTTTAAGATATTCAAAGAAGAATGATACTAAATTTAAGTTCATAAATGCCATGATGAAGATTGGTTTAAACAAATGACATCAGAAGCATTTATGGAATAAATAAACACAAATTGACCTTCCGCATTTGTTTTCCTTCACTGTTTTCAGCAGAAATACTTACTAGCAAGAAAATCTTAATACTTGGAAGATTCAAAAGATGCAAGTCAAATAAAACCAATCACACATAAAAAATATCACAATCATTTGGAAATCAACTGATACAAGAATCACAATGCAAGTAACAAACCAGACCAACCTGAAAGCATTCAGCACCTAAATAGCTTTGTAGCATCCGGATAACTGATGCACCTTTTTTGTAACTTATAGCATCAAAAATTTCATCAATTTCAGCAGCATGATTTATTTCCACCTGCAAAGTAAAAATTTTGAATATCAAATATTCTAGAAACAAAGAATTAATACCTCTAATGTAGAGAAAATAATCTCACAAAATATCCATACCTCAATAGGGTGGGATTCTGCAAGCCCATCCAACCTAAGACTGTCGGTAGATTCATCAAGAAACTGAGTCCATATTTTCCATTCTGGAAACAAGCTATCAGTTGCCAAGTAGCTCACCTGAAAATGTATAATCATTAGAAATAACTGTTTCTAGCACATGGTGGTAATAACATATATATTAAAACCAAAAAAATAAAAGTACCTTACCCATGTTGCAAAACCCTCATTCAGCCACAAATGTGTCCACCATTCCATTGTCACGAGATTGCCAAACCACTGGTGTGCCAGTTCATGGGCCACCACAGTTGCAACCTTAACAGCAACCAAGTAGTATTGTCAAACATTTTGTCTGATGCAGAATGAGATAATCTGATAAAGACACCAACATAATTTACAAATATTACCCTCTGCTTATTGGTAGCAGCAGAATGCTGCTCATCATAGAGCAAAGTTGTTTCACGATATGTAACTAAGCCATAGTTCTCCATTGCCCCAGCAGCAAAATCAGGAATAGCAACCATATCCAATTTGGGAAGAGAGTATGGCACAGCAAAATAGCTGTAGAAGTTAGCTGAATTAATTTGGGACTAAATTCCTGAATATTGATCTTAAGCAGTAAGCATTCACGTGAAAGAATGGCCAGTGGTCTTCACCAGTTTGTATTGTCAGAGACATAAAATGTGTGAGCAACAATCAAAAGGCAAGCATAAGCAATTAAATGATGAGAAAATGTACTCTTTATACAAATCAAGCGTCCGCACAGCAACACTTAGCGCAAATTTCCCTTGATTTGCCTTCCC